CATAATATGGTCTTTATAATGAATAGAACTCCAGGGGTAAACAAAATAAACACATAGGGGGAGATTTATCAATGTGCTGCTGACACTTGCATGTCTAATCTTGGTGGAATTTTAGGAGCAATTTATAAAATCTGATGGAATTGTTAATCTGTTGCTTCTCTTCTGCCCTAGCCATCATTTTTTAATAAATGCAGCTTTTTTCAGCGATGAAATAGATAAATACATTTCTCTGTCATTGTTTCCTCTAATAGAAAACTGTATCACGTCTATTATTTTGGCAACTCTACATTTGGCGGTTGTTTTAAATCAGAACTTTTGCGATGGTTAATGGAATTTACTATAAAGTAAGCCAGCATTTTTAGAGCTCTTTAATTTATGATAAAAATAATGACAGAATTTGAAGGACCACTGGCACCCCCCTATTATTAGGAATTAAAGCATTTTTGAATGGTTCGACTTCTTACATGCAGTCTAGTAGCCACCAATACCCACATCCACGACTAACACTAATCAGTTGATGCTCTCGGCACTGCAGGGCTTAGCTCAGGAGTAGTGGTTGTGGGAAGTGGTGAACGTTAGATTCCAGGTAAGAAGTTAAATTATGATACAGTTTGACTCCTGGCATCATAACCACTTCAGCGACATATAGTGGTTATGAGGCATTGGTTCCTTTAACTGTCTCTTTTCAGAACACTTCAATAAATATGCCCAACATATTTTCAAGAGGCTATTAAGAAGTATGCAAGGCCACCTTGCAGTAGGAAATTTCACCATTCTCTAAGACACAAACCTCTGGTTCTCTGGATCTACTTTATTCTCTGGATTCCATTAATCCACAGTGAATTGCTGATGCTTAGTTCTGGTTACTGGGCAGGACGTTGAAGGGAATGTTTTTACCTTTTTTTTTCCTGGATGCACATGCAACCACTCTTGAATCTATATAATAGTGCATACAGTTTTATCATACTGAAATATAGAGATTCCATGAGAGAAGCGTTTTTGCTACATTGGGTTTTCTTCTGTCTTCTATGATGGCCTCTCATTCATTCGCTCTTAAAAAGCAACCGTCATTTTGTCAGATCTCTTACCTTACTCTTTCGCGCAAACGTGGTGCAGGATGTGACGCCAGCTCCTCTCACATGATTCCCTTTTATTTAAGAAGTTGTGTCCTTAAGGGGTTAATGACACATGATGGAAATATTCCGTCATGATACCCTTTTATTTCAGAAGTTGTGTCCTTAAGGGGATATTTAACAAATAAGCATGCAGACATGTTTAATACAAATTTGAAGGAAAACAGAGCATCACATGATTAAAAAGATTAACACAAGTACAGGTTACAAATGCATATTTGTGAAATATAAATGTAAGTAAACATAGTAGAAAATGTGGGAAATGTGTCACAGGCGTGTGATAACCCAACACGCAGTACGTAAACCCACAGAAAACCCAAGCACGTGTTACCGAACCTTAGAATGGTTGGGTTTAGCGTAGGTAGAAAAAAAATAGTCAAGGAATAGCCGACAGTCAGGCTACCAGAGATCAGGAGAACAATACAGGAATAGCTGGGTCAGGATACCAAAATCAGAAAGTCAAAATACAAGCCGAGTCAGGGAACCAGAGAACAGGGAAGTCTAAAGCCAGAAATAACAAGATAATCGCTAGGAGGACCAGATAGCACTAAGGGGCACACAAGGAACCACAATAGGGCAAGGAACAAAACAAAAGGTGCCCTTTTTATAAGACCATGTCCCCAAAATGTTCTGGCCCAGTATTGATAATGCAGGGTCGGTTCATTGACGTCATGACATCGACGCGTATGAAAAGGGACTTGATTACAGCGTCCTGCGTGGGAAATGTTGAACCCACTGTTAGAGGAGCCGGCGTCTGATCCTGCACCACGTTTGCGCGAAAGAGTAAGGTAAGAGATCTGACAAAAAGACAGTTGCTTTTTAAGAGCGAATGAATGAGAGACCATCTTACAAGGCAGAGGAAACACTATGTAGCAAAAACGCTGCTCTCATTGAAACTCTATATTTCAGTATGATGACACAACTATACGCACTATTACACTATTACATATATAAAACTTTGTTGTTTTATTATACATTAGTAATTGTGAGCAGAAGAAACCTAAAAACACTACTTTAACCCCTTAGCGACCGAGGACGGTTCAGGACCGTCATCGGCATTTTTGCCTTGAGGACCGATGACGGTCCTGAACCGTCCTAACGGTCTGGGGGTACTTACCTGATCGCCGTCGTTCCCCCGGCGGCGATCAGTGTTCCTCCGGTTGTGGGGAGACTGCCTGCAGCCCAGACAGTCTCCCCACACTGATTTAGGACCCCTGTGGCCATGTGATCGCTTAACACAGCGATCACATGGTCACAATAGGTGTCCTAGTGTCTGCCTGCAGGGGGACTGCCTGTGCTGACAGGCAGTCTCCCTGCTAATGTAAAATCAAAAATAAAAATAAAGTTAATGGTAATAAAAAAAATAATAATAATTATATAGGTGTATATATGATATATAGACATATAATATATCTATATAATATATGTCTATATATCATCTATATAATGCCATACTAAGTGTATTTTTATATTAATATGTACTTATATTAATATAAAAATACACTTATAATTAAATTACACACGTATATATATAATATATATAATAACTATATATATTGTATATATATATTATTATAAAATATAAATAAGTAATTTAAATTAAATAAAAAAAATTTAAAATAATAAAAAAAAAAAAAATTATATATCTATATGAAATTTTATTCTAACTGTATTTTAAAATTAATATATATATATTTATATCAAAATACACTTAGAATGAATTTGTATATATATCTATGTATATAAAAATAAATAAAAATAATAAGAAATATACATATGTCCATATACAAAATTACATAAATAATTATATAAATATACACGTAGACTTCAAATATGTAAATATGCATATATATTTAAATTCTACGTGCGTATTTATGTAATAGTTTTACATAATTCAGTAATTTTATTGATTGCAATTTAAGGGACCTGCCTGCCAACCCAGGCCAAAATTCCAGAGAATTGAATTTGCTAGCACTGTATTTTACCCTGTAACGTTCTACGACACCCTAAAACCTGTACATGGGGGGTACTGTTTTACTCGGGAGACTTCGCTGAACACAAATATTAGTGATTCAAAACAGTAAAACATATCACAGCGATGATATTGTCAGTGAAAGTTACTTTTTTTGCATTTTTCACACACAAACAGCACTTTTACTGATGATATAATTGTTGTGATACGTTTTCCAGTTTTTAAACACTAATATTTGTGTTCAGCGATGTCTCCCGAGTAAAACAGTACCCCCCATGTACAGGTTTTATAGCATTTTTGAAAGTTACAAGGTCAAATATATGGGTCAAATATTTTTACATTGAAAATGGCCAGGTTGGTTACGTTGCCTTTGAGAGCGTATGGTAGCCCAGGAATGAGAATTACCCCCATGATGGCATACCATTTGCAAAAGAAGACAACCCAAGGTATTGCAAATGGGGTATGTCCAGTCTTTTTTAGTAACCACTTGGTCACAAACACTGGCCAAAATTAGCATTCAATTTAGTTTTTTTACTTTTTTCACACACAAACAAATATGAATTCTTACTTTGGCCAGTGTTTTCGACTAAGTGGCTACTAAAAAAGACTGGACATACCCCATATTGAATACCCTGGGTTGTCTACTTTAAAAAAAATATGTACATGTGGGGTGTTATTCAGAGATTTATGACAGATAATAGTGTTACAATGTCACTATTGATAAATTTAAAAAATTTATGTTTTGAAACCGCAATATCCTACTTGTACCTATAGCCCTATAACATGCAAAAAAAAGCAAAAAAGCATGTAAACACTGGGTATTTTTAAACTCAGGACAAAATTTTGAATCTATTTAGCAGTTTTTTTAATTCGCTTTTGTAGATGAGTAAAATATTTTTCAAGTAAAAGTCAAAAAACATGTATTTTTTTCAATTTTTCATCATATTTTTTTATTTTTTTTAAATTAAAATACATGAGATTATATAAATAATGGTATGTAAAGAAAGCCCCTTTTGTCCTGAAAAAAACAATATATAATTTGTATGGGAACAGTAAATGAGAAAGCGGAAAATTACAGCCAAACACAAACACCACAAAAGTGTAAAAATATGCCTGGTCGCAAATGTACAACATCGCAAAAAAGGTCCAGTCCTTAAGGGGTTAAGTCTGATGCGTATTGATTTTTCTAACTAACACATAGAAGAATTATAATATAAATGTATATTAACATAACGGCGAGCCAACCAACAAGAAGAAGAAAGTAGAGAAATCTATAAGAAGAAGTGTTGTTACACAAATCATTCAATGACCTACAAAAAGCCTGCCGATATGTTACAGATACCTTGCCATGTTTAAATAGCTGCCACCAGATATTGTAAATTGAATCCATCCATCTTGTGGCTTTTTCCAAACATAAACCTATTCAGATGTAGAAAATATGATAGAAGGTGACTAAACGGTATTACATAAATTGCATATTTCCATTGCTCTGGAGCACTGCATGGGTTATGGTGCTTGGTGCTTTCCTTTAAAACATATAAACCTGGGGGGGCATGGAGCCCGACTCTCAAGCAGATAAGATGTGCTTTCCAGGAGTTCCTGCCAAAACACGCATTAAACTTGCTAACATTACGAAAACAAAGAGACAAGTAGCTCAGAGCCAACTTCTGATGGTGACTTTACAAAAGGGACACTCAGGGTCCTGAAAAAAATGCTTTTATAAACTTATCCTGAAGACTGGCCCAGTGGCCTACCGAGACTGCCCTCCCTTTAGCTGAGCGAAGCCTTTGATCTCCCGCCTATGGCTGTGCTTCCCAAATTAAATCTCCTGAAGCCCTGTTAATCTCCTGGACTGGTGGGGATATCTTGGTCCCCAACCATATGGTGACTCAGAGATGGCCGCCATGCCAAAACATCTAATGTAAAGGGTTCAACGATTCGAGACCAAATTTGAAAAGCTGTGCCAGGACTTCTAGGCTCGTATAGCCGTCCACTCAAACACTTTTGCCTCACTTGTTCAAATCCAGCGAAAAACGCCAAATCTCATCACTACGGCCTGGCTCCAATCTGACTCACTCCGACACAAAGCCAAGCCAAGACCAAATGGGCGAGACCCTGACGCAGTGTGGAAGCAGAGACGGATGCCTCGAAAACAGCTTCAATGAGACGGCGGAATTTGGCTCGCCATCGGCGCCATCTGAAGCTCCACACCTTCCACCATTTCCCTCTCAGAAAGGATGTGACACTGATATGCCACTATGGCGGCTCAATGATGTTGGCCTGCATACAGGTCCTTCATGTTTCGCGATAACCGGTATTGGTCGACCATGGACAAAGTTCTATTAGCAGAAGCCCATCTTTACTCCTGACATAACCTGACCTGCCACCTTTCCTTTATTTACTAGTTTGACATGTTTTTGTTTCTTATCATGCATTTTATTTTATAAGCAGTGGCATTAGGATGGATGCGTTGATACCGGTGGCCTCACAATATTCTTGTTTTTCAAGCATATCATATTGTATTATTATCAGTCGATAATCTTATGTCTAAATGTATATTCTGCTGATATGTCTTTTTTTTTCTCTTATATGTAAGGTTTAGAAATGTTGTTCAGCCTGTTTATTATCTTTTTCATCCGAAAAAGGTGCAAACCTTCTGAATCCCTAACTGCTGTTATGTTATGTTCTTTGATATACTTGCTCAAGCTGTTGGAGCATTGCAAGTACGATTGTATCTTTATGCACAACAAAAATAAAGAATAGAAAACCCAACATAAACTTAATACAATTCCCCGGTTATATACATCTGCCCAGTTCTTGGGGAGTAGCCAGTAAGAACATTATCAATATTTTGTATATGGTGAACGTCTAGGTAACATACTATCTGTTTAAACTTTATGTCTTGGTATAATCGGAATTTAGTATTAGGAAGGTGCCAACATAATTTGCAGCACTGTACAATTAGCTACAATTCAGTACAGAGGAACAGAGGAGCCTGCTGTGAGCATAAATGCTGCCTTTTATACAATGCACTTAGCATGATGGCTTGTGTATTTTTGGTTGTTATTCATATTGACCTGCCATCACCATCATTTCTATATTAAAATCACATAACACATCCCAACGTATGTTGTTGTGTCCCCTTGAGGTATACCACACATCACATCATGTGATCAACAAGCATACCAGACATCAGTCACAACATTAAAACCATCTGCCTAACATTGTGTAGCATTCATGCTACCAAAACAGCTCTGATGCATTGAAGCATGGACTCCACAAGACCTCTGAACATATCCTGTGGTATCTGGCACCGAGACATTAGCAGCAGATCCTTGAAGTCCAGCAAGTTGCGAGGTGGGGCCGCCATGGATTGGATTTGTTGTTCTATCACACCCTACATTGGACTGAGATTTGGGGAATTTGGAGGATAAGGCATCACGTTGAACTATTTGTCATGCTCCTCAAATCATTCCGGATCAATTTTTGAAGTGTGCCAAGGTGAATTATCCTGCTGAAAGAGGCCACTGCCATCAGGGAGCATCATTGTCATGAAGGGGTGTACGTTCTCTGAAAGAATCTCTAGGTAGGTGGTACTTGTAAAAGTAACATCCACATAAATGCCAGGATTGTGTGTTCTGACACATTTGCATCATGGCCAGCATTAAGGTTTTCAGCAATTCGAGCTACAGTGGCTCTTCTTTGTAATTGGCCAGACGGGCTTGTCCTTGCTCCCCATGTGCATCGATGAGTCTCGGGCGCCCACAACTCTGTCGCCCATTCATTGGTTGTCCTTACTTGCACCCCTTTAGTCGGTACTAACAACTGCATACTGGGAACACCCTACAAGACTTGCTGTTTTGGAAATGTTCTGACCCACTCATCTAGCCATCACTATTTGGCCCTTGTTAAAGTCACTCAGATTTTTTCTCTTGCCCATTTTTCCTGCTCCCAACATATGTAATGTAAGGCCTCTTATTTGGCAACACTGTGGCAGTAAGTTTTCACTGCCATTGCAATCACTCTAGGAAGCGTCCATGTCTTCAGTGTCACTGGGAAGAACAGACATGCAAAAAGTAGTGTAGTTACATAGTTACATAGCTGAAAAGAGAATTGCGTCCATCAAGTTCAGCCTTCTTCACATAAGTTTTTGCTGTTGATCCAAAAGAAGGCAAAAAACCCAGTCTGAAGCGCTTCCAATTTTGCAAACTAGGAAAAAATCCCTTCTTGTAACTTTTGTGACCTTCCGCAAGATTCCCCATTCTTAATGGAACTATCATTTTTAATATTATGTTTACTTATCCCCTATCCTTAACAAATGTTCTTTTAAAAATATGTTTGCATAACTCTCAGCATTGAGAGGAATGCAGTCGAGAGCGGGAGGGCCGTGGGCACTGAGGACGGCGTTGCCAGTGACACAACCCGCATCACAGACATTGCCCATAATTGTGGATCCACTCAGGAGAGGGACTGAAGAGGTGTGGCAGCCTGTCTGGCCCGCCGGACCTTTACTGATAGGGAACTATGGTGGGACTGTACCCCATAAGCAGGACTGTTGGGAGGCATGTACTGGTGAGGTGTGAAAACAAAACTGAAGCTTTAATGTCAATCATTGAAGGTGAAGAACTTTAAGAAAAAAATATATCTCCACTCTGATACTTCCTACCTACAAGTTTCAAAACTAAAAACTGTCCCATACAGAAAATGACCTCTCCATACCTCTCCCACTGATTATTATTTTTTTTAAATTCTTTATTTTTGTTGTGCAAGCGTGTACATACAGACTTGCGATATCACAACAGTATTGGCAAGTAGTTCAAGCATCAAACATTGTGTGACTTTGACATGGTATGTGGAGTAACTGCACATTTTTGTAAAAGTAATATACAACAGATTAACAATACAAGCTGGGTGTATCATGTGATAAGGTAAACATGCTATACCTGAGGTAGGCTAGGACCAAGCTGTACTAGTGTGTCTATCATGGTGTAAGACATAACAGATTTATACTGCACGTTTGGTATCTAGACAAGATAATATTTAATCTGCATAGATGCCTAGCTCACTGATACTGTGGTGAAACCTCTGAGGATATGCTTCAATTATGTTATGCAATGCACGCTTGGTACGTTTTAAGTAGTGATTATTGTTTAACATGCTGGCTAGACAAAAGCTTACGTTTTAAGTAGTAATTATTGTTTAACATACTGGCTAGACAATAGCTTAGTTAGGACCACCGGAGCTTAGCACATTGTTGCCATTTAACATAGGTCTGACATAGGTAGGAAAGGCAATACTGTAGCAGTGTATAGCAAGGGATACTGGATCTTAGGCGGCAAGAGTTAAAGTTAAAACTGCTGTCCCTTGTAAAGCTCGCATAACGTTGGGCTGTGGTTGTCTCTGTGCTGGCATATAGGATGGAGTAACTTAAGACTTGTGGGCTGTGACAGGGAGACACAGTAGTCTTGCTCAATGCACAATGGTGTCTAGGGTACTCATCTGGGTGGTAGTTGGGCTTCTCCTCCCAGGCTTGATCTGTAGCCGAGTGCAGAGCTAACAAGCTTGTTGTTGCTTGGGAAGGGCGACTGGTGGAGACGCCATGCGGCGTGAGAGCACAGCTCCCCCAGGGGTCGTCAGTTGCGGTTAGAGGGTTCAGTAACTCTTTCAGCCCCACTCTCTCCCCGGCTGTGGTAGGAGATGTTTTCGACCCTGGACTTGCCTTGATCTAGCTGGGTGGTCTTCTCCACGATCGGCTCTTTCATGCTGGCTGGTCGCTCACATGGCTTGCGTGCGGCGGCCACCTTGCGGGGTGCCGCTCGGTAGGTGTTCCACGACAGGGTGGTTGTTCTGGGCCAAGATTGGCACCCCACTGGTCCAAACAGGGGTGGGGGAGCCAGACGCCGGCAGGAGACCTGGGAGAGCGGCCGTCCTGTCCCGGCTCAAGCTCCTTTGTGCTTCAGGCCCTTGTCGGGTCACTGTTATTGCCAAGCAGGGTCTTGGGGGGTATCCCTGCATTCAACATCAGCTGGAGGTCAATTTGGTCGCCAATATGGACCGCTGGTTAGGTTTGGCCTCCAGTTTTCGCAGATTTTTCGGCCCTCAAGCGGGAGCTCAGACAAAGCACGTCTGATCCCGTCGGCGGTAAGGGCCCCCCCCCCTCCCCCACTGATTATTATCTCAGGTTCCACATTCACCTAGTGCACTGAAACAGAAAGATGGTCCAGGAGGCAGTCAGTACAGAAATATACACCATGTTTATGGGATATATAGTATATGGGTGGTTGTTCTGCGCCCAGATTGGGCATGATATCTCTAGCAGTATATACAGTGTATTTGGGGTATGATATCTTTAGCAGTATATACAGTGTATATGTGATATCATATTTCCAGCAGTATACACAGTGTATATGGGATACATAGTACATGAGATATAATATCTGGGCTGTATACACAGTGCATATGGGATATATAGTACATGAGATATTATATCTCAGACTGTATACACAGTGTTTATGGGATATATAATAAATGAGATACAATATCTCAGGCTGTATACATAGTGTATATTAAGGGATACATATGTAATGGAGCTCCCTGTACCCCTGGCTGGGTATCTCTACCAAGGACCGCTTCCTAGCTGGAACAGGGGACAAATCGCAGCACTTCTGCCCACAGTTGCCGTGGCTTGACTGGGGTCCTGGAACCGCTCCCTCCTGGAGCCGAATGGGGACAACACTCAGTCCTGGGAGCTCTAGTCCTTACAAGGACTTTCCCCATTGACTCCTCCACACTGGAACAGTGATTAAAGAGTAGCCCTTTTCCCTCCCAGTAACCAGATGACACATAGTTCTACGAGTACAAGCTGTAATACCTTTATTGGAAGCCACAACTGGCCTTATATGCAGTTCCCCATGCAAGGGGCACTCCCCCCTGGACCTGAGAGTAGACTACATTAAAAACATACACAGAATTACATTGGCTCTCAGGTCCAGGACACTCCCATACAAAACAAGGTAATCCCTCCCCTGTGCTTGGGAGATAATTGAGTCAGAACTGTATTAAACTCAATTATCTCCAGGTACAAAAGACACACATTTCCCAAAAACCCAAAAGTACCTTAAACATACATAAAATCCCACAAAAGTTACATCCCCTGATAGCGCTGATCTAAGTGACCAACATATCCAAAAATCACACAGATCGGTTCAGGGATTCAGGAATTTCCTGGAAGTCAGAATTTGACTGACCGCACGCATGGTCCCATGCCCAAAACAGTTCCAAAGAATCAGGGCTTGCGGTCGGCCTAGTTCGGTAGTTTAAAAACCAAGCAAACTACTGAACGTAGTCAATGTTCTTACCCTAGAGTTTGCTCCTCTTGTTCGTTAGGACATTTCCACCGAACAGTGTCTTTCTAAGTGTTGTTTGTGGACAGGAGAGTTTGTGGTGAGCAGCAATCATGCACATGGAAACCTGGTAATTGCTTTTGGGGTCAAATTCCGGTTACGGCCAATCGGATCCACAGGAGGGGTATTTAAATCCAATTATCCTTTTGCTCATCGCCCTGTTGTGGTTTCATCCTGATGGTAATCCGAGAGTGCGTTCCTGATCTTGCTTTTCTGGTATTTGACTTTGGCTTTGTTTTGACTTACCTGAATTCTGATATCCTTGACTTTTGGCTTTCCCTCATTGTTGTGTCTGATTCTGTGTTCCTGACCTGGGCAAGTATTTTGACTATATTTGGATACGTTAAGTCCGGACATTCTAAGGTCTGGTTATACGTTATCCTTAGTCCTAGGTGTGACACAGTTCGGCGTGCTGGATCAACTTGTAATCCTGACAATAACATATGAGATATAATATCTCAGGCTGTATACACAGTATATTAGGGGATATATAATATATGAGATATAATATCTCAGGCTGTATAGACAGTGTATATTAAGGGATATATTATATATTATTATTACTATTATGCTATTTATATAGCGCCATCAAATTCTTCAGCGCTTTACAATGGGTGGACGAACAGACATGTAGTTGTAACCAGACAAGTTGGACACACAGAAACAGAGGGGTTGAGGGCCCTGCTCAATGAGCTTACATGCTAGAGGGAGTGGGGTAAAATGACACAAAAAGGTAAGGATAGTGTTAGACTAGTGACAGTTGCAGAAGAGGAGTCAGTCGGGAGCTATTAACAGTTTAATTGATACGCTTTTATGAAGAAGTGGGTTTTTAACGATTTTTTGAAGGAGTGGAGACTGGGTGAGCATCTAACGGAGGAGGGAAGCAAGTTCCACAGGAACGGTGCAGCCCTCGAGAAATCTTGAAGGCTAGCATCAGAGGTGGGAGTACGGACAGAAGATAGACGTAAGTCTTCAGCAGATCGTAAGGGCCTAGACGGGACATACTTGTGTATAAGGGAGGATACATAGGTGGGAGCAGCATTATGTAGAGATTTGAAAGCAAGAACCAGAATTTTAAATTGAGCTCTATATCTTATAGGAAGCCAATGTAGGGACTGACAGAAGGGTGAGGCATGGGAGGTGCGGGCGGACAGGAAGATGAGCCTCGCCCCCGCATTCATTATGGACTGTAATGGTGCAAGTTGGGAGCACGTAAGACCACTGAGAAGCGTATTACAGTAGTCAAGGCAAGAAAGGACAGTGGAATGGACCAACACCTTAGTTGCATCTGGCGTTAAGTAGGGTCGGATGCGCGCTATGTTTTTGAGATGGAAATGACAGGATTTGGCGATAGACTGAACATGAGGCTTGAAGGAGAGGTCGGAGTCAAAGAGAACACCTAGGCAGCGAGCCTGCGTGGTGGAGCTGATGGTAGCACCGTTGACTTGGAGGGAGACAGACACAGGAGTAACAACACTTGAGGGAGGAAACACCAGAATTTCAGTTTTGGTCAAGTTTAGTTTAAGGAAGTGGGCAGCCATCCAGTTAGAAACAGCAGAGAGGCAGTCAGAGACACTAGTCAAGAGGGGCGGGGAGAGATCAGGAGAGGACAGGTAGATTTGCGTGTCATCTGCATAGACATTATATTGGAAGCCAAAGGAGCTAATGAGTTTACCAAGGGAGGCAGTATAGATGGAGAACAGTAGGAGACCAAGGACTGAACCTTGGGCGACACCAACAGAGAGGAGTTGAGGAGAAGAAGCAGAGCCAGAGAAAGAAAAACTGAAAGAGCGCTGGGAGAGGTAGGAGGAGCACCAGGAGAGAGCAATATCTTGTAGACCGATATTGTGGAGGATGAGAAGAAGCTGTTGATGATCAACAGTGTCAAAAGACGCAGAGAGGTCAAGGAGAATTAGGATAGAGTAGTGACCACGAGATTTTGCAGCGAGTAGATCATTGGATACTTTGTTCAGTGATATATAATATCTCAGGCTGTATATACAGTGTATATTAAGGGATATATACTATATGAGATATAATATATCAGGCTGTATGCACAGTGTATATAAAGGGATATATAATATGTGAGATATAAGATCTCAGGCTGTATACACAGTGTATATTAAGGTATATATAATATATGAGATATAATACATCAGGCTGTATACACAGTGTATATGGGATATATAGTACATGGGATATATCTCAGGCTATATACAAAGTGTATATTAAGGGATATATAATATTTGAGATATAATACATCAGGCTGTATACACAGTGTATATGGGATATATAGTATATGAGATATAATATATCAGGCTGTACACACAGTGTATTTTAAGGGATATATATAATATGTGAGATATAAGATCTCAGGCTGTATACACAGTGTATATTAAGGGATATATAATATATGAGATATAATATCTCAGGCTGTATACACAGTGTATATTAAGGGATATATAGTATATGAGATATAATATCTCAGGCTATATACACAGTGTATATTAAGGGATATATAATATCTCAGGCTGTATACACAGTGTATATATATTATGGGAAATATAGTATATGAGATATAATATATCAGACTGTATACACAGTGTATATTAAGGGTTATATAGTATATGAGATATAATATCTCAGGCTGTATACACAATGCATATTAAGGGTCATATAATATTTTAGATATAATATCTCGGGCTGTATACACAGTGTATATTAAGGGTTATATAATATATTAGATATAATATCTCAGGCTGTATACACAGTGTATATTAAGATATATATAATATATGAGATATAATATCTCAGGCTGTATACAAAGTGTATATTAAGGGATATATAATATATGAGATATATCTCAGGCTGTAAATGTAGTGTATAATAAGGGATATATAATATATGAGATATAATATCTCAGGCTGTATACACAGTGTATATTAAGGGATATATAATATATGAGATACAATATATTAGGCTGTATACACAGTGTATATTAAGGGATATATAATATGTGAGATATAATATCTCAGGCTGTATACACTGTATATGGGATATATAGTATATGAGATATAATATCTCAGGCTGTATACACAGTGTATATTAAGGGATATATAATATATGAGATATATCTCACGCTGTATATGCAGTGTATATTAAGGGATATATAATATATGAGATACAATATATTAGGCTGTATACACAGTGTATATTAAGGGATATATAATATGTGAGATATAATATCTCAGGCTGTATACACTGTATATGGGATATATAGTATATGAGATATAATATCTCAGGCTGTATACACAGTGTATATTAAGGGATATATAATATATGAGATATAATATCTCAGGCTGTATACACAGTGTATATTAAGGGATATATAATATATGAGATATAATATCTCAGGCTGTATACACAGTGTATATTAAGGGATATATAGTATATGAGATATAATATCTCAGGCTGTATACACAGTGTATATTATGGGATATATAGTATATGAGATATAATATCTCAGGCTGTATACACAGTGTATATTAAGGGATATATAATATCTCAGGCTGTATACACAGTGTATATTGTGGGATATATAGTATATGAGATATAATATCTCAGGCTGTATACACAGTGTATATTAAGGGATATATAATATATGAGATATAATATCTCAGGCTGTATACACAGTGTATATTATGGGATATATAATATCTCAGGCTGTATACACAGTGTATATTATGGGATATATAGTATATGAGATATAATATCTCAGGCTGTATACACAGTGTATATTAAGGGATATATAATATATGAGATATAATATCTCAGGCTGTATACACAGTGTATATTAAGGGATATATAATATATGAGATGTAATATCTCAGGCTGTATACACAGTGTATATTATGGGATATATAGTATATGAGATATAATATCTCAGGCTGTATACACAGTGTATATTATGGGATATATAGTATATGAGATATAATATCTCAGGCTGTATACACAGTGTATATTATGGGATATATAGTATATGAGATGTAATATCTCAGGCTGTATACACAGTGTATATTATGGGATATATAGTATCTGAGATGTAATATCTCAGGCTGTATACACAGTGTATATTATGGGATATATAGTATATGAGATGTAATATCTCAGGCTGTATACACAGTGTATATTATGGGATATATAGTATATGAGATGTAATATCTCAGGCTGTATGCACAGAGTATATTATGGGATATATAGTATATGAGATATAATATCTGAGCTGCTCTCCATCCTACCACAAGAGTGTGCCTGTGAGGTGTCAGTAAGAGAAGACTCTCTCTCTGTGTTTTTCTCTATAAACCAGAATTAGCCGGAATGGCAGTGACAGAGTAGAGCTTGGTCGCCGGGTGCTCACTCTCCTAGCCCAATGAGCCGGTGATGAGGCAGGGCAAGAATGGCTTGAGGCTTCTTCCCGGGCTCTCCCCTCCCTTTCTAGCCATGGACCCGGCCGGGAGGATGGATACAGCGGGTTCTTCATGCCGAGGTGCTGAGAGTCCAGGGGACTGTGGTTCTGGAGGTCGGCCTGGGACCCTGTTTGCCCTGATGTGTCACCTGTCTGTCTGAACTTCAGGTGCGACCTGCTGCCATGGGGGGCTCAGTGGGAGTGACAGTCTGCAGGGAGGGGGCTCAGTGAGAGTCATAGTCTGCAGGGGGACAGTCTGCCCGGGCGGGAGGGGGCTTAGTGGGAGTGATAGTCTGCAAGGGGGACTCAGTGGTAGTGATACTCTGCAGGGGGGCTCAGTGGGAGTGACAGTCTGCAGAGGTGGCTCACTGGGAGTGGTAGTCTGCAGGGGTGGCACAGTGGGAGTGGTAGTCTGCAGGGAGGGGGCTCAGTGAGAGTGGTAGTCTTTAGGGGACAGTCTGCCCAGGGAGTCTCACTGGGAGTGATAGTCTGCATGGGGGTGGGGGGCTCAGTGGGAGAGACAGTCTGCATGGGGGGGGGGCTCAGTGGGAGAGACAGTCTGCAGAAGTGGCTCAGTGGGAGTGATAGTCTTTAGGGGAAAAGTCCGCCCAGGGGGCTTAGTGGAAGTGATAGTCTGCAGAGTGATACTCTAGTCTACAGGGAGCAGTGTGCCCAGGGAGTGATAGTCTGCAGGGGATCACTCTGACCAGGGGGGCTTAGTGAAGTGGTAGTGGGGGGGGGGGGGCATTATTGGGTATGGTGCCCTGCTATGATTGTCTGTGCCAACTATTGAGTTTGATACATTGCTGTGTGAGTGTGCATTATTCAGTATGCTGCCATGAGTGTACAGTTTTGAGTGTGGTAGCCCTGTAAGTTACCCTGTGAGTGTGCATTATTGAGTTCTGGGGGGAGTATATATGTAATGGGCTGTTATGGATGTGTAAAAAAACTAGATTGTTGGGTATACTGACCTGCTTGTGTATGCGTGAACCACTTTGTATTTATGTTTTAATATATTAAGAAATATGTTTGTGTAAACAATATCCAGATAACAATCTGTCACAATTATTTGTTATTGTACACAACAGCACAGCAGTGTAAGTAATATATAATATGTAAATGTTTACTGGTTGAGTATAATCAATATTCAGATTATATATATATATATAATGTGTGTGCGTGTATATACATTGTAAATACATGTTATTTTGACTATATCTTTGCATTGTATGTATATATGTATCAATAATAAAGTGTGTTTCCTTATTTTTTTATTACTGATATCTTAGCCAGGGCCAAGCACAATGTTAATTTCAAACACCAATTGATTAAATGAAAAAGACAGTGTGAGAAATGTACATCTTAAATTTAAACAAGACCCAGCTCTCTTCTTTTTTGCCAAGATAAAGCAGCTGGTGAGGTTACTTTAGGTCATTATCAGCCTATAGACGTTTGGAGGACAGAATCGTCACAGCCAACTGGTTTTCTGTAGCAAAAATTAAAGCAAGTGTGTTCCTGTCTCTTAACTGCTCGAGGGGAGCGCACCTCTTGGCAGAGAACAAATTAATCTGTGTGTTTTCCTCCTCTGTGAACAGCAGAAGGATTTCCTGCCTTTTTGTCTCCCTGGCTGGTACAAAGCCATCCAGAGGATGATGTCGCACACATGCTTGCATTGTGAAATTGGCAAGAAACACTCTGTTTCTTAAGGACAAAGCCTGGGCATGTGGCTGGCAGGTCGCTGTACCCTCCCTTGTCAGCATGATTGGGTAGTGCCCTTGCCCCTGCAAGAACAAGCCTGATCTGTTGCATCTGACAGTTTTAAAAAGCGGCCAAGGCTGAACGGTATATTCTAAAAGATATTTTATTAAGGCAACCATACATTTATTCACAAAAGGCGTATAAATATATAGCTGTACGTGGAAACATGTACATGGAAAGACAAAAGTATGATTAGAATATTGTGCAAGAAACAGCGTTATTCTTTGTGTTATCTTGTTGCAGCATTAAATATGTGTTGATAGGCATCTCCGGCCCAAGCTGCCTTCTTTGTTAGATGAAGATGTGAGCGATTCGTTATAATGCTCTGGGTACTCTATAACACATAACGTGATCTGGATGCCGGAAGGTGATGCAACATAGTTACTGGCAGGCAGTTGAGGGATGAGAGGTTGAGATGACAGACCCTGGGAAGTTGGTTTAGATTAGAATATGAAGGATGATGGTTAGATAAATTTCCCCGAATTAAAAGTTGAATTTCTCTCTCTGGACTTGCTGCATGAAGCCTACTGTACTCCTGTGGTGTCACCATCTTTATGGGCATGCCTCTTCTCCATCTCCAGTTTTACTGTGCTGTTAACAGATACTATTGCACTTGAAGCTTGTCATATGGTTCTTGTTCGCTGGAGATTACCAGTGTTTCAGATTATTTCTCTTGGAATGCAATTTGTACTGTGAATAGCTTATAGTTGAGCTTTGGCACATTAGGGAATCCATACATAATGTCCGGTCACTTCTGTCAGTGGTTTTAATGTTGTGGCTGATCAGTGTATTGCATTATCCACTGCAGCATGAGTGGTGTAATAGTTGATGGATTAGCCCTTTTGTATGGCCCCCAAAGACTACAACGCCAATGGGACATCAGGTTCTGGAAAGGACCTGGTGTCTAAAACCCTAGGCAAGTTATTTTAAAAGACGTGGAGCGACACCATCTCTTAACCTTCGCTATTCTGTCCAACACAGGTTCTTTCCTCTGATATTTTTATAGTGTAGTGACTCATATTGCCATAGCTGCTATCTTCATTCATGTTTGGCAAATGTGATACTATAAAAATGGAATTTAGTGGGATGTGGAAGTGGAGGGTTCACCTTAAAAGCCACCTTCCCTACACCTTGTGCCTCCCCTTCCCGGTAAGCAGTCAAAAAAAACAACTCAGGAGCAGGTCAATTCTGTAATAGTAAGATTTATGGTAAAGGAAAACCAGACTAGAAAGTCTGGACTATTAACAACAGCTAAGCCAGACTGAATTGGCATCTTGCCAGAGAAAGAGTTTTGCAAAACATGAAATCGGGTAATGTAAGGCCTCTTATTCGGCAACACTGTGGCAGTAAGTTTTCACTGCCAATGCAATCTTTCCTGGAAGCGTCAATGTACTCTTCAGTGACACTGGGAAGAACAGATATGTAATATGTACTGCGTAGCATCTCCATAAAACTTTTAACTTTTGCGACTTTTTCACAAAATTCCCTATTTTAAATGGAACTATGAAGGATGATGGTTAGATACGTCCCCTCCAATTAGAAGTTGAATTTCTCTCTCTGGACTTCACGGGTGCAGGAAGCCTACTGTACTCCTGTGGTGCCACCATCTTCATAGGCATGCCTCTTCTACTTCTGGACAGCGGCTTTACTGTGCTGTTGCTAACAGATACTATTGCGTTTGAAGCTTGTCAGATGGTGCTTGTTCGCTGGAGACCAATGCTTCAGATCATTTGTCTTGGAATGCCACTTCTACTGCGAATAGCTTATAGTTGAGCTTTGGCACCTCAGGGAGCCATGCATAAGGTCGGGTCATTTCTAAAACAGAAGGCACCAAGTTCTTTAGATGCAGGTTCTGCAACTAAATGTGACAAAGTTCTGTCTCTTTTCATGACATATTTTCAATCTTTATTCTTCATAAAGTTCATAGCAGCTGCATCTGTATTTAAGTGCAGATGTTGAACTAACACTTTGGTGCCAGTCTATCCTCTAAATGAGCACTTGATGAAAGTGGATCTGATAGCGAATCGTTTCAATTATTTATATAGTACCAACATATTCCATAGTGCTGTAAAATAGATAAGACAAAATTCTATTTCTAACCAAACATGTATGGCATACAGGAACAGTAGCTGAAGAGATCTCTGCCTAAAAGAACTCACAATCTCAGTGTATGTTCCTGGATAAAGCTCCATCTTGCTCTAATGGTTGCACTGTTTTCATTAGTTGCGAGGTTTTTGGGCTGTGTCAAGGGTCGCTTCATTAACATGGCATAATCTTTAGATTCACAGTATGCCATGAGCTGAATGTATGATATTTATGATGAATGGGTCTCCTCTGTAAGCTGATAGAGGCCATGCCATACTGCTGCATTATTAGTTATTAGCCCCACCCCCTCTTAAAGCCCTTTAAATAAAGTATAACTTACCTGGAATTCAGTGCCAGACGAAGTTCCCTTTACTGGATTCCAGCCCTGTCCAAAGTCACAGTCTCCCCCTCCATGGTCCAATCAAATGTATTTGATTGGACCATTCTCCTGGTTTAAATTCCATGCGTGCTCTCTGAGCCAGGGAGAGGAGAGAGTGTGGGTGTAAAAAAACAAGGGGAGAAAAAAATACAGAGCTCTACAAGGAGGCAGGGAAGGCATGGAGAGCTCAGTTGATGGAAGGAGGGGAGATCACGTTTTCAGTGTATGTTTTGCACAGAACTGATATTAGGTATCATTCCGTGCTGTAGTGAGATAGCAGCAGGGGAGTGAAAGGCCATGTGGTTGCAGGTTCTCTTTAATACTGCTTTTTCTAAGAAAAGGCACTATTCCCATTTACCCTACGGCCAACCTCTAGTTGCTTTCACTCAGACAGCCACTAGAGATCCTTCCGTGTGTTGTCCTGCAAACTTTGCTGTATCAATGTTGGATACACCTAACATTTCCCATAGAGATGCACTGATTGGTTGGTTAGCGCAGAGAGGCAATTGCAACACATGCACACTAGCCCCCCAATGCCTCCCTATGGGGAAGAATTGGTTGGCTGAGACCACCTGGAATGATGATCTCAGCCAGGGTGAGGAGCAGTGGCCTAGTTCCCCCTTCCTTTCCTTTTCCTAAAAGTATGTTTTACTATTCTTTTTTTTTGCTGTAAAATTATAAAAAATGTATAAAAACAATTTGAAAAGAATTGTGGGGTATGGGTTAAAGCAGCCTCATAAAGGGGCCACAGCTGCCACATGTATCTTCATCTTTGAACTGGGAGCTGGATAGAGGGCTTATTTAGCTTGCGGTAGGCTCCTGTCCCTCCTAATAATTATACATGAGTTCCAGGCTCCCACTAATCCTCTCACCCAAATTATGGTGATATAACCAACAGTGGAGGGATGCCAAATTAACTGGCAAAATAGCTGTATTTATAATGTGTCTATTCATCCTAGCCTGCTGCTTAGTGAATAAATCACTAGTTCTCACCAATAATTATATACTAAGATATACAAGAGAACATAAAACATTTTATTTTTTTATTACAGAAGCATAAAAGTTGGGAAAGTGGCTATAAGTACTGTCACGGCTCCAACCAGCTTATTTCACTTTGTCTTCTTGAAAAGAACATTAAAATTGTAACCTTAAAATGCGTTCAGCGGACTTTGTCTTCTGCTGACATGCCATTTTTTTATTTTTTTTGGTGATGAACTAATAACGTGTTGCTCCCCACACTCCAGCCCTGCACCCTGAGCTAATTACACAATGGCTGAACTTCAGCATGATGTGAAATATGAACCCATGTACTCCTTCCAAATATGGGAGGATACTGAACGGATCCTTCAAATAGTCAGCACTTACTGATTGTGTGACCGAGGCAACAACAGATAAGATGGAATGGTTTGACACTGAACTATGATTAGGTTAGCATTGGCTATATAATGACATAAGAATATGAATACAGAGAGAAATATGTAACGAATGGGATAGATTTAGAAGAATAGATAGATGGAGATACAGAGAGACAGACAGACAGTGATGGGGAGGGATGGATATTTATGTGTATGTGTGTACATATACCTATTATATATAACAGCGCTGCAGAATCTGTTGGCGCTTTATAAATAATAATAATGATATATAAATAGAGAGATTTAGAGATATAGATTTTAAAAAAGGATAGATAGATCGGGAACGATGACTGAGAAAGACAGGAATAGAGAGGAGACAGAGAGATTGAGATAGCAATGTTACTAAAAAAAAAGAAAAAGAGAGGGGGACGATAGATAGAGAGGGGTAGAGATAGCTATAGATCTAGAGAGAGACTGATAAAAAAAGGAGATATTTTTACGTAGCTGGAGAAACATAGACAGATATTGAGATAGCTGCATTCATCGAAAGAGAAAAGGATTAAGAGAAAGAACGGAAGTGGAGTGAAGGAAATTGACAGGTAGGTGGACAGAGAGAGAATCAGAATGGAAAAATATAGACAGTCACACAGATGTGGGAAAGACTGGTAGCAAAATGTTAACATATTATCTGTGTGTGTGTGTTTGTGATATATTGGCATGTGTATGAAGGTGCATAGAAGATGTGTTTCTGCATACGTTGCTCATTATATTTCACGTTGTATCCACTAAAAGAGGCTTCTGACCGTGGCTGCGATTAAATGTTGTTTCATAAGCTTTTCAAATTATTTAATATTTTTAAAAAAACTTTTAAAATGATTTAACATTATGAGAAATATTTAAAATTTTGTAATATTTTGATATTTTTGGCATGTTGATAAAAATTTTATTAAAAAAAAGAATTAAAAAAAGTATCCAAAAATGTAAATCATTTGAAAAAGCTTATCCAACAGTATTGAATCGATACCCATCCATATTTGCAAAAATCCAGTTTAAGTTTGAAGAACACTCCAAGAACCATAAACACTACAGTTATCAAGCATTAAGCTATGAGTTAAATCCCTCCAGCACCTTAAATCTTAATACATAATGAAAAGTTATCTGTACTGCACAAAATGGAATTGTTAGTGGAGTTTACTGTATTTTTCATGACAGCCCTAATAACAGGAATTTGGACGTCACTTTCTGTAGACTTGCAAATTCATTTTACAGACGCATGATAAGAGAATGTGTAATTTCACGTTGCAGTCCTCTACATGGTTTGAATCTTGCTGGATGGTAACAGAGAGTCCATAATAAATACAATATGGAATTTGCTGTTAACTGTATTTAAAAACAGTTGCTTTGTACCTTTGTCCTTTTAACCTTGTTGATTACGGAATGGGGACTTCATTATGAAAGGCTTTACGGACACGCTTTTTAAAATGTACATCTAGGTATTTTTGCTTGAATGCGTACCATTGAAAATCAGAGTTAATTTTTAATACCCGTTAAGGCATTGCTAGTTCAGTGTGAATATGCCTATAGAATTATTGGCGTTAACTTTGTACCCAGTGAGGATTCAATGCAACAGTAGTTCTTGGAAAAGGTAAGTTTGGGATTTTTATGGTTATGCCATCCGCAATAGAAAATTGTCAGGTAAAATGACAGCTCTTGCAATTCTAATCTAGCTACCTTGGCTGTTGGGAAATATTTTAAATGTAGTGACTGAGATGATGCTGTAGTTCGCTCTTTGAATTGCTTATTATTTAAAAGCTATCTCTAAGTTCAGCTGGCACACATGGCTCTCCTGAGACCAAAGAAGCAACTCAGTAAGGATCAAACGTCAGGGCATCTCAGCAAGTTCAGCTGGTGACAATTATTGATTTTTTAAATTTATTTTTTATTTATAGCCTGAGTAAATTTGCACAATCTGTATTCTTGGGCCCCTTTATGTTATAGGCTCTCGTGTTCGTTGAGTTCCAGGTCAGTGTTTGAATCAGCCTTTGCAGAGTTTGCTTGAGGTTTTTGTACCTTGTCAATTGTTTTGTCGTTATGATTTCTGGTCTGATGTCGTGCCAATACTGATTCTTGAGATATTTTCAAGCACTAACATAATAAAGTAAATGACTTGCTTTGAATGATCCCGTTGTGCCATAATGCAGGCACATTGAACATGGGTTTGATATTCGTTATATACCTTTCCTGGTGAAATGACTTGACATAATTATATCCTATAATGAAACCTATACTTTAATATTGCTTTAATGTTTGTGATTTTTCTGTACAAGGTACAGTAGTAATTCAGATGTTGAGATTTATTGTCAGATAGGACACAAAAACTTACACTGTTTAAGCCTTAATCATTTTAAGTCCTTTCTAAACTGTTTGAATTGCTAATGCTGTGTAGCCTTGTATAGAGAGTATACTTGTTGGGGAGTGCGGGTTCCCCTGCAGTGCTCTGATGACTGCTGTTTATGCGGTGCTTTGACTCTGCTTTGTATGCAACATTTCCAGTTTGTTAGATTTCCTCTCTAAATTGAACTAGTTTTCAGTGAGGTCCTGGATCTATGATGAGAATATATAAAAATGACAAAGTTCAATCTGGTCCTCAGCCAAGTATGAAAAAGGCTCATTAGCTCATTTGACATTTGGGAGTATTGCAAACACATTTCAACTTGCTGGTAAAATGTATTCCCTATGAGTATAGGCTGCGTAAGATTACAGACAGCTTGTGTCTGAGAGATTCAGATCTGAAATGCTAGAAAAAATTGCATATGCTTGATAGTTTCAGGCATACCCAAGGTATTTAAATGCTGATTATAAGGGTCTCTTTATATGACCCCAAGCCAAATTACAGTCTGTTTGATTTGTCTAGGTTTAATATGTCTGCAATGTTGCATCTCGTCTGCTCTTATGGGTATGAAATCCCTGCTGAGTGTCACAGTGTCCAGTCTCGATATGTCCTCTGTAATGTCATAATATAGTCTATCAAGGTTTTACTGATTTGGTACCATTCCATGTGAAAAGGACACTGCAAGCATCATTACTACTACAGCTTATTGTATTATCACGGTTTTTGTGTTATTAATATTAGAGCTTATTGTATTATTACGGTTTTTGTATTATTACAGTTTATCGTATTATTGAAGTTTTTGTATTATTACAGCTTATGGTAGTGGTGCTGAGACCCTATTGAATTGATGTGGTCTCTAAGTGTTAAACTGTTTTCAGGTGGTTTGACAAAAACTGGAGAATCCCCAGCACCCAAAAATTGCTGTCCATCTCCTGGAAACATCAATGAGGACTTTTCACTTTCTAAATCTCTGTTTAAATATTGTTACAGTGAATGCTCACAATGTGCAATGAGAGGCTATTTTGCCTTAGGTGCCAAGGTTTACCAAAGTACTGTTACGATTCTCATGGAGCTGGACTATAACTTTGGGACTATAGGTTCAGGTTCTGTTTTTGCCCACCCTCCTTTGTTATTAAAAAATATAAATTAACTAACAATTACTCACCTTGTTTCCAGAGCTGGGAGCAGCCATACCCTCAACCTTTGAAGACATCAGCATGCCTGCTGAAGTCTTCCGCAAACTCAAAGAAGCAATGGATTAGAGATACGCATGCGCGGCAAAGTGCCTCACTCCACCAATCAAATGCTGCTATCACGATTTGATTCCAGGACGAGTTTCACACAGTCTGGAGGAGGAAGCATTTTTAGTGACTGACAGTATGACAGCCACTAGAGGTGTGTTTAAGCCTGCAAAAACTGCAATATTTTAGATTGCAGGGTTAAAATAACAGGACCACTGCAGCTAGACCATTTTATTGAGATTAAATTGTCCGTGTGATGTTTGGGGTTCTTTGAGGATGCTAAAAGCCTAACGTGCTGTAGCTGAACCATGTTGCTCTGCAACTGTATTAATGGCATACAATGAAACAAATCTGGCTGATTGCTGGCACTTACTGCTGAAACACCCTTTAGGCTCAATTACAAGTACTAACCATGGCATGAAATTGCTTTCTGACCAGATGTGATCTTTGTACATGTCTTTGATTCACCCTAAATTGCATCATACTACCAACGATCAAATTACATTATATCCACAATTTACAATGCTCTGGATTTTAAGAAAGCTAAAAATGTCCTTCATTCCACTGCCAAGGCCAAGTTCTCCATTCAACTTGATTCTCCTCTCCAGATGTCTCTTCCTCTCACTGTTGGGGGAGTGTTGTAGGGGGGAAAACATGTACAGCATGGGGACGACAACACTGTACTGCAATTGGGCGACGGCATGCTCCAAGTGCTGATGTCCAGTATGCACAGAATTCATATTACCTACCCAGAACTTGTTCTAGACTGGCTGTTGATGCCCCAATGATGCTGCTGGAGGTGGAGTTACAACTCTGGCAGAAAAAGGGGTTAAGCTGACTGAAGTGGTTAAGGTGTTTGTAGTAACCCTTTAACCCCTTAAGGACACATGACATGTGTGACATGTCATGATTCCCTTTTATTCCAGAAGTTTGGTCCTTAAGGGGTTAAGCATATGCATTAAGCATACCCCCCAACAACCCTGAATCTGACGTGAAAGTCCTTATTCATTTTGTTTTAGTTCTGGGAAAAGTTCAGTGCAATTGCATCTTATAGTGTGAGCAAGTCCAGTGCAGGACATATCTGTCCTAACTACTGCTTTTCATTAGGGCTTTGCGCATGGGCAGTCTTGCTTGGCCTCACCCCCTCTCATTCCGAGAGAATTCCGGGAGGTGTGTTTAAGCAAGATTTACTGGAGGTGCTTGATATTTAGGTCAAAGTGCAAAATGTCTACCAACACTGGGATGTATGTAAGAAAGACCAGGACAGGGCAGTGGAGAACATGTCAGGCAGTCCGCATCACTGTTTTGTGCATGCAAGCATCTATAATGTGTTTATTAAGGGATAACTCATGCATAACTCAAAAACATTGGGTCTGTCCTCACAAATCTGGGACACTTGGAAGGAATGGTTCAAGAAATCTTGGGATTGATGCACTGATATCTTGAGTGGTAAATTTATAATTCTTGTATGTGGCAAATTAGATAGGTCAGTTGACATTTATCTCCCTTTAAAATTGATATTTTGTCATATACTTTTGCACTACAGTACAAATGTATAAGTCAGGAGAAAAAGGTAATGTGAAACCTCTTTAATAACTCATCCAAGGATGTCATGATCACAGTTGTTTACAAACATAATCTCTCTTGAAATGCTGTTGGATAATTATTAACTCGCATGTGAAGACCTATTTAGGTGAGAGGTCATTTACTAATCAGCAAGCTGACAAATTACAAATTTAGGCTAAAATTACCAGATTGCACATATATTCCGTCTACTTTTTGTTTTTGACTAATTTGGCCTTTTTTGGCCTCCATTTGCCATTATGTGAGCTTACCTCCATATGCTTTTGTAAATTAGATTTCTTATTCAAATGTTATACCATGATGGGGGATAATTTGAATTTGGGACAATAAGTAAACAAAATAAACAAATGGGGAATAAATGGCTGTCTCAGTATTTTTTTAAGAACTTACAGAGTATACTGCAGTCAGTCAGATTTCATAATTTATTAACCTTTCCTTTTACATAAGGTCCCACAACTTTAATATAAAAATATAAAGTAAAATAAAATCACAACTTCCTAATGAGCTTTACAATTTAAACTGGATAACCCTTCACCCAATTGTGTGCTTGTGAATCACACAAAACCCAGTAAAATAAAGTGATGCTAAAAACCTAACTAGAGGTCATTTAGAGAGACCTGCTTCGTCAGGGAACACTGCGATGATGAAAGACGCCACATTTACAAATAATGGAGTCATATTTCGGCTCCTGACTTCAGTAGACGGACCGCGAGGCGCGAGGGAGCAGAGCAGGAAGATCACAGCTCCCTCCCCGCCTCAGATGTCAATACAGCCGCACGCCTCCCAGCAGCCCCACTGGACCCCCAAAGACAAGTAGGAAGGCTGGGTGAAAAAATAGTATTATAATAATATTAATAATTAGTGAGTGTGTGTATGAGTGTATCTGTTAGAGTGTGTGTGTCTGTCTGTGAGTATGTGTGTGCATATGAGTGTCTAAGTGTCTCTGAGTGTGAATGTATGAGTGTGTCTGTCAGTGTGTGCATTTTTGAGTGTCTGTCAAATCAGCAAGAGTCTGTTTGTCATTGAGTCTGTGTTTGACTATCCGTGTGTCATTCAATGAGTATCTGTCAGTGTGCATGTGTGTGTCTGTCAATGAATGAGTGTGTGTCAGATCAGTAGTATGTGTCTGTCAGTGACATCTGTGTGTTTGTCATTGATGTGTGTGTGACTGTCAGTGCGTATCTGCCAGTCTGTGTCTGTTGGGGAATGTGTGTGTGTGTGTGTGTCAAATCAGCGAGTCTGTGTCTGTCAGTGAATGTGTGTATGCTTGTCAGAGTGTGTGCTTAAAGGGACACTATAGACACCCAGACCACTTCAACTCATTGAAGTGGTCTGGGTGCAGTGTCCCACTCCTCTTTAACCCTGCAAGTTTAATTATTGCAGTTTCTCAGAAACTGCAAAATTATCTTGAGGGGTTAACTCCTTACGGGTGGTTAGGCGACCAAAAGTTGCCTAACTGGTGCTGGACGTCCTCACTCTGTGTATGAGGACATCCAGCGTCTGCTAAATCCCCGTAGGAAAGAATTGATACATTTCCTATGGGGAAGCATAATGCAAGCGCGGAGTAGAAGCCTGACCCAGCGCTGAGGGACATCGGCGCTGGATTCAGTTAAATGACTGAAGAAGTTTTAACCTTCAGTGCCGAGTAAGGGGGGAGAGCAAGAGGGAGGGGGCACTACAGGGAACAATAGTGCCAGGAAATGCTTTAACAGGAGTAGGAAATGGTGGAGTCTAAAGAGGAAGGGGTGGGTTCTTAATCAGGAAGAGGTGCGGCCTTGACCGGTAGGGGTGGGGCAAAATTAGATTAGGGGAGTGCCCAGGTTTAGTCATCCCTAGGGCAGCAACAAACCAAAATACACCACTGATTGGAGCTGACTTTTCTTGTGCTTTTTGGTCAGTAATGGTCTACATCTTGGAGTTTTGTCATGGAAACCTTCTGCGTTTAGTACACGCCTTACTGAGCTCACTGAATCCTCAGTGCCTATGGCCAAGTCTTGCTGCAGGTCTTTTGCAGTCACTTGAGGGTTTTTCACAACCTAGTTTCCGTTTACTGCCCCGTCCAGGTAGTGTAACCACTGTTCCTTCAACTTTGAACTTGCATACTAAGCTTCCATCGGTGTCTCTAAGAACATTCAGTGCCTTCGCTATCTTTTTGTATCAGGTTCCTTGTTTGTGAAGGGCAATGATCTCTTCTTTTAACTTTGTGGACCATCAAACATGCAGTCAAACGTGACACTCAACAAACCCCTTACCAGCTCAGGTATTTCAAGTGTCCCAGCTCATGCACACCTGGTGCAACTAATAAAGCCCTTGATTAGCCTCATTAGGTGTGCTTGACACAACACATATTTCGTATATTTGTGCTGTTGTGAGGGATTCTATTCAGGGGGTTGAATAATTTTGAGACTGGAGAAGACATTTTTAAGTTGCATTTTCATTTGAATTTGGGGAAACCACTTGTAGCATTCATGGTGTTGAGCTATTTCAATTGCTTTTGTTTGATTTATTCATTGCAAACAGCTGAAAGGCTGTAAGTATTGACAATAAACTTGAATTTCAATGGGGGTTGAATAATTTTGATTGCAACTGTAGGTAGAAAGACAGACAGACAGATAGATATAGATATATAGATGTAGGACGTAATGTCCTCATATCGAAATTCATCAGTGTTTACCAGTTTTATAAATGATTGCCGTCATCCATATTGCAGAAGAACATATTATCTCCAGACTGTGAATGCACGTATCTGGAGCTGACTATAATGTTTTCTGTAAGAATTCTCGTGGTGATTCAGAATATAATTATTTCAGGCTGTTTTATCGCAAAACAGTTTGGAAAACAAAATGCTGAAATCAAAATATCTATTGGTTTAACAACATTTTCCCTCCAGAAATCAGTGGCGCTAGCATCAAGAATTGCAAGTTATCTCTGTTACTGTCGTCTTCCTGCAAGTTTGAGCCATCAGGCCATCTTTTCTGAACTCTCCAATTACAAAAGTGCTTGCCCTCCCCAGGGGCAAAAAAAATTAATATCTCTCTCGTCTTTTTTTTTTTTAATAATACATCAATATTTTGGATGGCATTAGTAGTATAAAGATGAAGTGTTTTTACTTCTTAGATAAAATACCACAATTTAAATCATCCTATTTGCCATTATTGATGGATTATGGACCAGGGTTGGTTTGTACTTGTCTTGCTAGCAAAATAAATACAGGTATTATAGACTGCTTTTGTTGAGCACATTGTATGTGAGCCTCTGTTGCTTTGGTGCCCAGCCTGTGGATGTGTTTTGGGGAGCTGAAAGGAATGCATATTAGGAGAAGAATGGGTGATACATGAGGAAAGAGGGCATTCGTTTTAGTTATAATCAACTGGAGGCTGACAAACTCATTAGCAGTTTGAGGCTTCCTGAAATTGCAATACAAGACCGATAAAAGAACAGATTAAAAGCAGGCAGTGATATAAACAGCTTAGGAACTGACTGATAGCAGACATATACTATAAACAGCTTAGGAACAGATCAATAAAAGACAATAGCCGGATATTGATTAGTTCCTTATAGGCTTGTAGTACGTTTACGGTAGTAGGAGGTTGTTAAAGGTGTGGGTGCTAAGAAAGTACAAACTTGCTCTAAATCCTTTATGTTGTTGCACTTGCAGCTGACTCCTTTCCTTCTCCCTGTCTGCCTGTAGTATACTCGGTTTAATAGTACTTAGTTTACAGGTGGCATTGTGATGGGGTACACAGCTAGAGATAATATCTGCTACTTATTTTAACAAACACCCTGCATTTAAAGGAAATGTGTTTTCAGGTTTGGACTAGCAGCCGAATCATATTTCAAAGGCCTGGGCTGAGATAATGGCCTTGGAGTTATCAGGCAATATATGTATTATAAAATATAAAATAGCAGGTATTCAATCCGGTGGACCAGCAAATAATGTGAACATATGTTTTTTGCTTTGTATTTGTGACAGCCAGGAGACAGAATGCCATAACTGCCAGTATGAGTGGTATGAAGCCAGTGTTGGTCAGGAAAGGACCAGTCTGGACGGAAGCCAGCGATGCTGGCACCATGCACGTTAGAATGGCAGGCAGCTTACCAAGCAATCATTGGGGCCTTGCCCACAGACACACCGAACGTTTTCTATTTTGGGCAGAAATGCCAGGTGCTTATTAGGGCCAGGGTTGGCAAAACCCAGTTTAGTAGATAAAATAAATAAGGTCCAGGCAACAAAAAGTGCAACGTTTCCACCTACACAGAGGCCTTAATCAAGGTTGATAAAGGCCTCTGTGTAGGCCGAAACTTTGCACTTTTTGTTCCAATAAACTTGCCTTCCTGCAGCAATCCTGAGTGCCTGGACCTAATTTATTTTAAAGGACCACTCTAGGCACCCAGACCACTTCAGCTTAATGAAGTGGTCTGGGTGCCAGGTCCCTCTAGGATTAACCCTTTTTTTTATAAACATAGCAGTTTCAGAGAAACTGCTATGTTTATACTGAGGGTTAATCCAGCCTCCAGTGGCTGTCTCATTGACAGCCGCTAGAGGCACTTGCGTGATTCTCACTGTGAAAATCACAGTGAGAGCACGCAAGCGTCCATAGGAAAGCATTGTAAATGCGCATGCGCATTCAGCCGATGACGTCGCGAGCAAGGAGGAGAGGAGGAGTACAGCTCCCCGCCCGGCGCTGGAGAAAGGTAAGTGTTTATCCCCTTCCTCTCTCCAGAGCACGGCGGGAGGGGGTCCCTGAGGGTGGGGGCACCCTCAGGGCACTATAGTGCCAGGAAAACAAGTATGTTTTCCTGGCACTATAGTGGTCCTTTAAGTGCAGCAGTGAAAGCATTTAGACACAGCTGGGCTATACTTGGTGATTTTCCATGATGTCCCCAGAAGTGGGACTATCCCACTGGAACAGCACAATTTGTTTGTATTTAATGCAAGATGTACTTATTGCGTTTTGTCCAGTGAAATGTTGGGTGTATCACAGAGTAAGCAAACTGTACAAAAAATGGAGAATAGGGAGTCAGAATCACTATGGATGAAGGAACAACAGAATAACACTACAAAGTATCAAATTTGTTTGTTTTTTGTTTTTTTATTTATTTTTTTGATGTGCATATAAAAGACAAATTAGCCTGCGAGGCCACATCAGCTTTCACAGAGAGTGATTGCATGTCGGTACAGAATTTGCACATATTGCTATTGTAAAATATAACGGTGCATGGCATTTCTAGGCTAAAGCACAGTTTTATAGTATAGTAGAGATGACAGGAGAAGAACACGGCTAGTCACATCTATCTAGCTAATAAACAGTATACAGGCTATGTGTTAACAAAGAAAAGTGAGTTTTATAGCCAGGAGACATGCTAGGCTAAGTAATATATGGATATATTTGCTGAACTACACACATGCTGAATGCAGCTAGCCACAGAGACATAACCAATGCTACTTGAAATGAAGCGTGCTTATATGGTGTAAGAGGTAGCCACTGTAAGAGCGTTAAGTAGGAAGGTGTAGGAACGCTTAACTGGGTGCCTTTAGCCCCCTAGGAGATATGTGGGATAGTAAGAGAGGCCAGCGTTTAAAGAGTCATTATAAACAAAACTTATGGGGTTAGACAGAGCTGTGCCAGCAGATACCGTGTGGGGAGAAAAGATGAGTGGTCATATGCCTTTGAATTCCCAGTCCATGAGCTCATCTCATCCGATGCCTACTGAGGGGAGAGCAGAGTCCCAGAACAGCGATGCAATGCCTCAGGGCCTAGCGAAGGCAGGCTGGTCCTCGCGATGGGCAGGGTTGGTGCTATCCCTTTCAACAGCTCTGCATCCTGTCCCGCTGCAAGCCGCAAGCGATCCTCAGGTACTTTAGGAGTCCCAGCCTTGGTTTGGGCTGTTTTCCATCCATGTGCCGGTTTCTGTTTGCGAGATGAGGGCTTTTTGCTTCGCCGCCATTTTGGGGCCTTTGTAGAGGCTGCGGGTGTCTGCTGCGGGCGCACGAGCTGCTGTGAAGGAAAGTGATCATTCGGCTGCTCAGGGGTGATGCCAGGTGTGATGCCAACTCTTATCTAGAATTTGTCAAAGATTCTGTTGAGTCTGGTCGTAAGGTCACTTTGATTGTAGACAGAGTCGTGGTGCCATGTGGCGTCCACCATGCTTGGTGGCTCACTTGATTTCCCTGCGGTCTCAGTGACCTCACCCCTTGTGCCCAGTAGAGCAGACGAGCCTCTCAGGAGTGGACCGGGATCACCCCCGCCGGTCCAGGGGGGGGATTGCGGGCTGCTTGCAACATGATTAGGGCTGTTGAACCGCTCCGGCCTGGGAGATTGGCCGCCTCTCCCATCGCCCTCTAGGCCACATGTGTCAGATTTTGCTGCCAGGGAGCTTGTGTCACTTTTCCAACCTCCACAGTGTGCTGCAGTCAGGTCAGGATGAAGGTAAGCCATTGGGTGAGGTTGATTTTGGGCTTGGTGAAGCTACAAACGGTTTGTATTGCCCGAGTAGGAGAGGAGCTCAAGCAAGATGTGACTCTCCACCATGGCAGTCAGGCCCTGCCCCCAGTATCAAATGTTTTTCTGCAATTAATTTAACCCCTTAAGGACCAAACTTATGGAATAAAAGGGAATTGTGACATGTCTCACATGTCATGTGTCCTTAAGGGGTTAAAGAAGCTCCTTACCCAGAGGTGGCCACTTCATTAGACCAAATAGGCAGTTGCCTATACCTTATCTCACACTGAGACAGACTGCACAATGAGGGACATCCCAAGGATCCTTCCCAAACCCCCAGAGAGCTACACCTATGTATATCATGGTTGATTGACATCAGCACTTGGAAATAACAGACTTATGTAAATCCTTTACTTCTCCTGATCTGTCTGTATGTGTAATATTGGTCTCTTTTGTATTTATGGCTTTCATACAGCACAGGATGTGCAACAGGAGAGCAGTCATGGAGAAGGAGCCAGAGAAGAGTGTAAAAGGCAGGCCGGAGACAAAGAGAGCAAACCCCAACATTGATGGTGGATGGGCCTGGATGATGGTGTTGTCCTCTTTCCTTGTCCATCTGCTGGTTATGGGCTCTCAGATGGCACTCGGGATCCTTAACATGGAATGGTTGGAAGAATTTGGACAAAGTAGAGGTCTGACTGCTTGGGTCAGTTCCCTTAGTATGGGAATCACCCTGATTGTAGGTATGTCATTTCCTATTTCTGAACATTATTGCTGAATGTTTATTTTTTATAAACCATACTTAATATTCACAGATTATATAAGCCATATTCTACAGATTCAGAGTACGGTCCTACTCTAGATATCCTGTGAAGGTCCAGGTTCACACTTGTCCCTATATAATAGTTGGGAAAAATCTTTTTGGATGTTAAAGTGCATGTTTTGCAAATATGATATAGGTTCTCTTTACTTTAAAATTGTATGTTATTTGTTATGTTTAAAAACAAACAAACCACGTTAATTGGTGCCATACAACAGAAAAGAATAACAATAATGTTAACGTTCTTCGGACACACATATACATAAATATACACTGATCAGCCACATACAGGTGAGTGAATTACAGTGATTATATATTTACAGTGGCACCTGGGTGAGATATATTAGGCAGCAAGTGAGCAGTCAGTTCTTGAATTTCATGTGTTGGAAGCAGGAACAATGGGCAAGTGAAAAGATCTGAGTGACTTTGACAACGGCCAAATAGTGATGGCTAGACGACACTAAGTGAGAGAATTTTCAAAATGGCAAGTTTCGTGGGGTGCAAGAGAGGACATCTGCTGAATCGGTGAATGGGCACCAAAAGCTCCCTAATGCACGTCGGGAGTGAAAGCTAGCCCACCTGGTCCAGTCACACAGAAGAGCTACTGTAGCTTAAATTGCTGAAAAGCTTCATGCTGGCCATGTTAGAAAGGTGTCAGAAAAAACAGTGCATCTCAGTTTGCTGCACAGTCGCAGAATGGTCATAGTGCCCATTATGACCACTGTCCACGGCCGAAAGCACCTTCAATAGAGATGTGAGTGTCAGAACTGGACTGTGGAGCAATGGAATAAAGTTGCCTGGTCTGATGAACAATGGTTTCTTTTACATCAGGTGGATGGCAGGGCTTGTGTGCGTCTTTTATCTGGGGAAGAAGTAGGCAGGCCAACGGAGGCAGTTTTAAGCTCTGGGCAATGTTCTGCTGAGAAACTTTGGGTCTTAGTAATCATGTGTATGTTACTTTGAGGGTTACTAGAGATTCCTGCAGACCACATAAACCCAACACTCTAAGTACACATGTGTCATATACTTTGACTCCTGTATACGTCTTTATATCCAGGATATAATGTAAAGGTAAGAGAGATATATAAATAGATTAAATATGGACAAGAAAAATAGGCTTGTATATTAGATTTTTAAAGCCTTACAGCAGCTGTTTCCCTTATGTTAAAATGACAACTGTATTTTAAAAAATCCTAAAAATGTTCTGTTAATTTTCCCAGCTTGGATATTTTGTCCTGAATAATTTATTTTGTCCTGAATCATGTGCAAACTCATAACAACCCTTTGTTTATTGATCTGACCCATAATGTCCCTGACCCCAAGGGCTCCTTCTCAAAGCTAGAGAGCTTAGAAAGGACATATTCAAATTCTATGAACAGAAAGAGAAAGACTGTGATTTAATGTGAGCCATAATTACATATTGATATTACTTACACTGTTATTGTGATGATCATCTCTCTTCAGGTCCATTCATAGGGTTATTCATTAATACATGTGGGTGCCGGAAGACTACAATGATTGGAGGGTTCTTGACATCTCTTGGTTGGGTCCTGAGTGCCTACGCCACTAGTGTGCATTTTCTGTTCATCACATTTGGCGTGACAGCAGGTAAGAATGTATTCTATGCTACTAGCATTGCAATAATCTGACGTTAGTAGGTAACAGTTTCCTAGTGGAGCACCTTCGAAACAGAAATATATTGCGTGCTTTAGACTATTTTAATGAAATTATGTCAACTAATCCTGTCTTTTAAATCAACTGTAACAAAATGGACATTGGTGCCAAAACTTTAAACCAGTTGTTGTTGGATTAAACATTCTGTACTAATAGTCGGGCAGAAAGTTCTGAGAAAATTAGTGGAACAAGTGAGGGAGCAGAATATAAGAGCCCTGGTTTAAAGGTTTATTATGCTAGAATTGTAATTTGCATGATTTATGATCTTAGTTTCAGTGTTTGTTTGTTTGTTTGTTTTTTCCCCATAGGCATTGGTAGTGGGATGGTGTACCTCCCTGCAGTGGTCATGGTGGGCCAATATTTTCAGAAACGCCGTGCTCTGGCACAGGGTCTTAGTACCACAGGGACTGGTTTTGGGACATTCCTAATCACAGTCCTGCTGAAATACCTATGTGCAGAGTTTGGCTGGAGAAATGCCATGATTATACAGGGCGCAGTTACCCTCAACTTGTGTGTATGTGGAGCACTCATGAGACCTCTGGACCAAGTGGAGAAGAATTGGAGAGACTGCATGGAGAAAATAAGTGATCACAAAGAAATTAGTGGACCCACACTGCTAGATAATGAAGACGGGAAAGCTAATGGTGTATTACATGAGGAGGTGAAAAATGGAACAGCTACAGTAGATCATGAAACATCATGCAACAAGGAGAGTACCATAAATGAGATGGTCACTAAAGACATGAGTAAACTAGGAATTCTGAAGACCGTTACTCGAATGACCGTAGCAGTAAGATCTGGATGCCGAGCCTGGTATTCGAGCTACTTTGGAACTGCTTCCCTCTTCACCAATAAAGTATTTGTAGCATTTGTCTTCTGGGCACTGCTGGCCTACTGCAGTTTTGTAATTCCATTCATTCACCTGCCGGAGGTGGTAAAGCTCTATGGCGTGTCCGAGCAGAACAACATTTTTCCTCTCACCTCAATTATTGCCATTGTGCATATTTTTGGCAAGATTATCTTGGGCTACCTTGGTGATTTGCCATGTGTCAGTGCATGGAATGCCTTCATAGTTTCCAATTTCACACTGGGCGTTAGCATTCTCATTCTTCCGCTCATGCACACATATACCAGCCTTGCCTTGGTTTGCGCACTTATAGGGTTTTCCAGTGGGTACTTCTCTCTCATGCCTGTTGTTACTGAAGATTTGGTTGGGATCAAGCAACTGGCAAATGCCTATGGGATCATAATCTGTGCCAATGGAATTTCAGCACTTTTGGGACCACCCTTTGCAGGTAAAATATTCTGTTATTTGTATCATTGCATGGCCAGCAGTTGTAGAACTTGACCTTCCGTGATGCTTTGTCAGCCTCAAGGATAGAAAGGTATCATGAATAATGTAGTTCAGTTATGAATAGGGATCTACTGTTGGTCAGACCTATAACAAGCAGAGAAGCTTTGATAGCCCCTTGATAGAGAGATATATCCCTGCATTGATTTAGCTTTAAAGTTATAATAGAAAATTAAGAAAATTTAATTAAAAAAGTACCAATATTTTATTTTTTATGTCTGTATGTTATGAGTATTTGATGCTGAAAGAATGTGAACTTTTTGATAAATAAAAACACAGAAAGTAGCTCTGTACTCAAACTCCATGCTCTTGGTTGGCAGTAATGGCTATAGTATTGATCAGCCTTAATATATAAGCCGAAAAGTTACCTGCACACTATTCCAAATCCATGTGTCCATTTAAATAAAAAAAATTTGGTAGCACTGTAGTGATCATTAAAGTGTAAGCTCACCTGCCAGTATCAAACTAAACCTCTTGGTTTGGGTGTGTTCTGTGCTAATGTAAAGTACCTTGTTGCTTTCTGGTAAAAGGCAAAATCAGTAATTAGATAAAAGTGGTGATTCTTATGAATCCTTAAAAACTAGCTAACCATAAAGTGGTTAAGATAATTAAAAGCTGGGTTTCTAGCGTGTACGGTTGTAAAAGGGTAGGCAACTCAAGCACACAAACCAGAGTCTTTCCAATAAAAGGTGCGTAGAAGAAGAGGGAGCAGTGCCTTGATATGTTTCTGCGGTAGATGTGTTCTCAGTTGTAGTATGATATGTGGAAACAAAGATACAGCAGAAAATAGTGTAGTTAGTATGTCCCACATACAGTGGCAAAATAAGAAGTGAAACTGCACTTACAGATAGCTCTATTTAAATGCGCACCAGCTGTACAATCCCCACCTAGGGATATTTGGTGTCTTCTATTAGTTAAAGTGCTTCTGTGAAGGGGAACTCCAATCAAGTATGTTGGCTCCAGATGAGTTACAGTGTTCCCCAACCCAGTCCTCATGGACCACCAACAGTCCAGGATTTATGTATTTCCCTTTTTTATTTAAATATTTATAAATTACCAACAATGTACCCTTCATGTATTGTTTAAAGGGTTATTTCAAATTGAGTACTACAGACCAAGAACAAACTGATATGGAAGACTGAAGCTCTTTGCAAGTTTACAATGTAGCGAAATATAGATGAAAACACAGCTGGATTGATTCACCCTGGGACAGCAATCTGGATCTCTCACCCTGTTCCAAATTATTATGCAAATGATATTTTTCTCATTTACCTAAATAATTGATGTAAAAAACAATCAGCATAATTCTCATGTTATAAGAGTACAATTCAAATTTTATTGAACAAACCTCCTAATGATAACAGTATTTTTTTTAACATAAAAAAACTTACAATGCACTGTTCCAAATTATTACGCACAGTAAGTTTCAAAACACTTTATAGGTTTGTAAAGAACTGAAAATTGTCATTTGTTGTGTTTGCAGCATATTTACTGAAATCAAAAGCTATTTCATTCAAACTTATAATAACATTTTAACTTTTTAAACACTGTATCGGGTCAAGTTACATTTTAACATAGGACCCCTTATTTGATAGCAGCTTCACAAGTCTTGCATCCATTGAACTTGTGAGTTTTTGGACAATTTCTGCTTGAATTTGTTTGCAAGATGTCACAATAGCCTCCCAGAGCTGCTGTTTGGATGTAAACGGCCTCCCACTCTCATAGTTCTTTTACTTGAGGATGCTCCAAAGGTTCTCAATAGGATTGAGGTCAGGGAGGATGGAGGCCACACCATGCCTTTCTCTCCTTTTATCCCCATAGCAGCCATTGATGCAGAGGTATTCTTTGCAGCATGAAATGGTGCATTGTCATGCATGAAGATGATTTTATTACGGAAAGCATAGTTCTTCCTTCTGTACCAGGGAAGAAAGTGGTCAGTCAGAAACTCCACATAGTTTGCATAGGTCATCTTTACACCTTTGGGGACCCTAAAGGGGCCGACCAGCATTCTTCCCATGATACCGGCCCAAAACATGACTCCACCACCGCCTTGCTGACGTCGCAGCCTTGTTGGAACAGGGTGGCCGTCCACCAACCATCCACTACTCCATCCATCTGGACCATCCAGAGTTGCATGGCACTCATCAGTGAACAGGACTGTTTGAAAATTAGTCTTCATGTATTTTTCTGCCCAATGCAGCCGTTTCTGCTTGTGAGCATTGGTTAGTGGTGGCCGAATAGAAGTTTTATGCACAGTTGCAAGACTCTGGAGGACTCTACACCTTGATGTCCGCGGGGCTCCAGAGGCACCAGCAGCTTCAAATATCTGTTTGCTGCTATGTAATGGTATTTTAGCAGCTTCTTTCTTGATCCGATGCATGGATCTGGCAGAAATCTTACTCAATGCGCCTATATCTGCACGAACCCGTCTGTGCTCTGAATCAGCCACAAATCTCTTAATAGTGCTTAAGTTTTCATGAAATATCTAATGTTTTCATACCTCGTCCAAGGCATTGAACTATTTCACTCTTTTTGGCAGCAGAGAGATCCTTTTTCTTCCCCATATTGCATGAAAATGGTGCTCTGCTTAATAATGTGGAACATCCTCATTTAGTAGTTTTTCCTTAAATTGGGCTTGCCTGGCAATCTAATTATCACAGGTGTCTGAGATTGTTTTCAGTGATCAAAAGAGCCCTGAGACACAATGCCATCCATGAGTTAAACTGAAAAACTAAATATTTAATCTTTGTGACAAATAGAATTTGTATAATAATTTGGAACAGGGTGTAGGTAGTATCAAAGGATTCTTTAGATAACATTCACTAATATTCTAAGTAACAATATACTTACTTAACTATCACCAGTTTATGTGTATTATTTGAGTAGGAGGTAAAATACTTTAGTTATATTTACCTGCACTAAGAAAATAGCACTTGATTCAATAAACAAAACCCTTGATTTCAACAAACAAAAAATAAATTAAATTTAAGACGCGGCAAAGCTTTTAAAGTTTATCAAGTTGAAAGCAAACACACACAAAAAAACTGCATAACCAAAAAAGGTAAACAAAAAAAAAGTACAGAGTTTACAGTGATACCATAGTGCCAGGAAATGTAAAGAGTACTCTGGTGCCTTTTCCCGGTAATGGGGCAAACCCACCAGTCTCCTGGTCTATGATGCAAATTTACGACGCCCAGTTTATGCAGAGTTTCAGGAGCTGGATGCCGATCCTGACACTTATTCATTGCCTGAGAGTGTCAGCTGATCGCCCTCAGCCAATAAATCAGCACCTCTTGTTTTGGGCTGCCTAATGACGCCTCAACGATGCTGACAGAGGTGGCGTTACACCTCCAGCATCAGAGGTTAAACTCTATTTTTGTTGTGTTTCATAGCAAAATGCTGAACATACAGACTGCAGGCACCATGACCACTTCATATCACTGAGTGGTTGTGGTGCTTGGAATAACCCTTTAGTGTAGGTTGAATTAATTTTTAGAGGTCACTGTGAAAGCAAATTCTGGAGACAGGTCTCTAAGGAAATGCCTGGGGGCACAAGACATGTAAGGTGTCCCTTTGCTGTTTTTCTCTACTCTGTAACCATGGCATTTTTGTATTGATTTTTGTTTCAATAAAGAGAACATGATTCTGCACTGATTACTGATTAAGGAGTGGATTTTCATTCATTGTTTCCGACATTTGCTATTACGCTCCTATCTCCATTCCAAGAACCTTTCCTCAGCTCTTGCTGCAGCCCAACTGCAAAGCTGAGAAAGATGTTCTTCTCGAATATTGTTACATGTCAGGCTTTGGTCACATCTTGCTGAATTATAGAGGTCTTTGGAAAGCTAGGTTGTGCAGGATAAGTGAGAATTGAGGTTTGATAGAAAGTGTAATTTCTGTGGAAATGAGATGTTGGCAGATTGAAAGATAGGCTCTAAAGAGACGGTGATAAAGAACAAAGACGGAAATAACCTGCAAGATTAATGCAAAGACCAAATACTAAAAGGACGGAGATGTTACTGAGGAGCTTTGCAAGTTAGTGTCTGGTGTCAAATTTCCTTGCGGAATGGGGAGAATTTGAGAGAGAATGGCTAGTTTGTGTTGCTCGTATTCTTCTGCAACAACATCTGTCCTGCAGATTAGATAATGAATTTAGGAGCATATAATGGTATTTCTGAATATGAAATCTTTTTTAGGAACAGTGCTGTTTAGGGTAAAGAAAATCATACATGGGTTATAAAGGTGTTTGGTAGAATCTGTCAAACCTTATGGTATATATTTCATAAGATCGGTGATCAGCAATAGACTATTCCTTTTCTTTCCACGTCTGAAAGATAATTTGTTCATTGATGTGTTTCCAAGTTAGAACTTGGAAATGGGTGTTCTCTCCTGTCCAACTGTAGACTGGTCTTAATGAGCAGAGGAATCATGCGAGGTTGGTGTGATAGCCAGCGCACCACATGGAAATCATCCAACAGGCACAGACCACCAACACTTCAAAGAGAAAACTTCTTCTCTTTTTATTTGGAATACATTAAAATAATTTCCACAGTGAGGAAATGGACAAATAATGTATAAACCTTCTTCAAATAGACATCAGTCTGAGCATACCACAAGACAGAATTATTTTCATAGTCTTACATTGCAAGTTTTTTTACTGCCAGTGGAATCTGTTTATTCTATGTAAAGTCTGTGCTTGCATGAGTTGGTTAAGTTGCTATAGTTAAATACCTTCAGGTCAGTTGGCGCTCAGTCTAAACACGCAGCCAAGGCAGTGATTCACAGGTACTCCCAGAGTTAATAAATCCCAGGAGCTATGCCTCTGAAAAATGTTACTGCAGATATATTATTATATGTAGAACTGCCTGGCTCCTCAAATAAAATAGCTTGGTTCATAACAAAGGGTTACACAATACATATTTTAGTAAATTCCATTGCCTAATCACAAAGGCTACTGGGGGTGCGAAATGATAATCTTGTACATTTAGATTTGGCAGATACCAGGATATCGGCCGGACTAATGGAGTCAGCAATACCCTGAATCTTAATATTGATGCGTCTGTTACAGTTCTCTGCCAGATCAACTCTCGTTGCTAGGGTAGATTGGGAGGATAGCATTTTGTGGACAGTTTCCTCTACCTACTCCCTCAGGTCTAGAATATCCTCTTTAGAGGCCTGTGTGCATAAGGTCACCGCCTGCACTTCAGTCCTTAGCAAGCCAAGGTCCGCATCTGTTGCATTTCCTGTAGTAGGTCAGCAATGTCTTGCTTGGTGGCCGCTATTAACTTGCATCGATCTACCGACTCCGCTGGGGTGGCCGAGTTGTAGAAGGCTTCATTAATTCCTCTGCATTCTCATCGGAGCCATTTGGGTTATATTTGCGGTCCAGCGAGGCTGCCATCTTGGAGGCCGCAGGGTGCTGTAACATGGCACATATACCCTGGGTGTCCTGTCCTTGATGGGACATGGTTATGGCCTCTGGGATCTTCTTCCCATATTGTTGATATCTCGTGTGGGAGGCTTGCTGAGAAACTGGGGTGAGCTTGATGTGTCTGCCGTTGGCACTGTTACCTCTGGTCTGGCCATTACAGTACCGAACTCGAGGTAGGCCCATCAGATATCTGTGATCAGGGGCCCAGCGGGGTGCCAATGCCCTTGAACAGGCTGACCAGGCCCCTGATAGATGGTGCTGGCAAGAAGTGAAAGCAGATTACTTCCTCCCAGTTAACATAGACAACTGCATAGTGAGGACTGGATGCAGAGAAGGGGGAGAGATAGAGGAGGCAGATGTGTATCAGTGCCAGTATGTGTGTGTGTGTCATTGTGCATGTGTATCTGTGTCAGAATGTGTGTATCTGTGTCAATATGTGTATGTGGGTATCTGTGTGTATGTGTATCTGTTTGTGTGTCAGTGTGTATGTGGATCTGTGCCAGTATGTGTGTGTACATATGTCTGTGTCAAGGTGCATGTGTATCTCTGTGTGTGTCAGTGTTAATGTGTATCTGTGCCAGTATGTGTTTGTATCTGTGTGTGGAAGTTCATCTGTGTCAGTATGTGTGTGTGTCAGTATACCTGCCAGCAAGTGTGCATATGTGTGTGTCTCAGTAAGTGTGTGTATCTACGTGTGTGTGTGTGTGTGTGTATCTGTGTCAGCATGTGTGCATCTTTGTGTGTGTGTCAGTATATGTGTGTATGCAAGTGTGTATGTGTATCTATGTCAGTATGTGTGTATCTGTGTGTGTGTCAGTGTGTATATGTATCTGTGCCTCTAACATACTCAACAATATAACACCGAGACCCATTTATTAAAGGGACACTATAGTCACCAGAACAACTACAGCTTATTGGATTTGTTCTGGTGAATAGAATCATTACCTTCAGGCTTTTTGCTGTAAACACTGTCTTTTCAGAGAAAATGCAGTGTTTACATTACAGCCTAGTGATAACTTCACTGGCAACTCCTCAGATGGCTGTTAGAGATCCTTCCTGGGTCATGGCTGCCTAAAATGCATCGAAACATTCAATATCTCCTCCCTCTGTATGCAGACACTGAACTTTCCTCATAGAGATTCATTAATTCAATTCATCTGTATGAGGAGATGCTGATTGACCAGCGCTGTGTTTGAATCATGCTGGCTCTGCCCCTGATCTGCCTCCTTGTCAGTCTCAGCCAATCCTATGGGGAAGCACTGTGATTGGATCAGGCTTCCACTTCTGCTGATGTCAGCAGAGTGATTGTTGTTTTTGTTTGAGGCAAACAGCATGCAGAGTTACAGCTTGAATACGGTAAGATGTTGCTTGACATGCGCATCATCGTCCTTTTGGCCTATTCCTGTTATAAACCAATTAGAGACCTTCAAGAATTACAGACACATGAATTTTGCCAAAATATTCCACGGCTTTATTAAATGTATAAATAATAAAATATAAATTTAAAAGGTCATTGTCAACAACGATTAGGAAGACATCCCCCCAATTAACATAACTATACACCAAGACAATGACCTAAACCATTTTACAGAATACATCCATATAACCATATAACATAGTATAAATAACATAAACATTAACATAGCCACCCAGGGCATCCATTTCCAATTGTAGGGGCATACCAAGACACCCGTACGCCATTATCACAGCCACCAAGGGCATCCCTTTCCACTGTAGGGGCATACCAAGACACCCCTACACCATTATCCCAGCCACCAAGGGCATCCATTTCCAGTGTAGGGGCATACCAAGACACCCTTACACCATTATCCCAGCCACCAAGGGCATCCATTTCCAGTGTAGGGGCATACCGAGACACCCCTACACCCCCAGGTTCGGAGCTACCGACGAGCTCGAACCTACCACCAAATCCAAAGGTAAGTATTCCCCTGACCTATCCCACTTACCAAAAACCGACCTACCCCCCAATTAACCTAATCCATCCCCCGCCGCCGTGACAAAACGGAGGAGCCATACCGCTTGGCCATCAACAAACTGAAATTAGGGAGGGTGGGCGGGACAGCTACCAACAGGTAAGGGATTTAAAATTAAAATGGAAACTGAATTAAAATGGCCGATTTTTATATGGGAAACTTAGGCCACTCCCCTAACTGACCTCCACCAATCAAACCACACCTCATTCATAGGCCTGCCTCCTAGCTCTGTCAAGGCCCATTCCACCTAGCTTGCTGTTCCATGGGCTTCAATATTTATGGAGGCATGAAGGGGTCAGGGGGGTCTAGATGGTAGTTTTAACACTATAGCGTAAGGAATACATGTTTGTGTTCCTGACCCTATAGTGATTCTTTAATGTGCGGCATAAGCTAAAAAAGGTGGTACAGACACATCATATGTGCATGATAAGTCTACATCAATAAGTGATAGAGTCTGCAAAATTCACATTTTAGGGCTTTTTTTATGCAATATTATGGATTAGATTATTTTAATAATGTATTGAAAATTGAAAATAGGGTTCCTTTCAAGACTTACTTGTCACAATAAGTAGTGTCCAGTCTAAAGTGACAATTTAAGTAGTATAATAAACAGGCCTTATTTCTCAATAGGCAGTGTAGGCACCTACCTAAAGGCACATGTCCTATAGAGGGGGCCTGTTTTTAGCACTTAGTGGCACTTAATAGCAGACCTTCTGTGGCAAACCTACATATTTTGTTTCCCAAAAGTTACTTCCTCTGCGTTCGGTAGATAAATCTGGTGAACACCAACCATCCCCTGGCTCATTAAGTTACAAAAAAAAACCCACAGAATTAAGTGCTCTCCCTGTGTGGCCGCCATTCGTATAACCGAACAACACGTGCTGTAGAAAACGGCGGCCATCTTGTCACATGAAAATAGGCAGCGGGACTTGGTCGTCGAGTGTCTGGAACTCCAAGTCGGACACTCCACCCCGCGAACACCTGGCAAACTTCACAAATGCCTTTTCAAAGACAAACCAGGAGAGCACTGTTCGGTAGGTTTGTTCGCACAGGGGAACTGTTCGTCTTTTTGTTTGGTTTGGAACTCCCGAAATTGACTGACCGCTACCACTGAAACTATGGAACTGATTTAGGCAGACACCTCATGAACGGTCAGTCAAAACGTTACCCCAGTGGTGACTCGGCTGTATTCGTGGGATCTAAACATGCTTTTTGGACAACTTGGGTGCTCAGATCCAAACCAACTGGGGATATAATATTTGTGGGGTTCCTATATGTCTTATATGTGTTTTTATGTATTTTTTATAGTTTATGTTTTATGCACTGTCATGCTGAGTAAGAAATTCATGGGCATGTTGTGGGAGTTTTATGGGCTTGTTTAACTATATCCCTGATATTTATAAAAGCAGGCCATCTGGCTAGAATAAAATATTCCTGTTGTACCCTTTATCTAGTCTTGACTGATGTTTGAGTATGTGACCAACGAGCCCTTGGATTTCCTTTCATGCTTCACTTTGATTTTCGGGAACGTATGAATCAGCGCTCCATGTGAACGGCCTATAAGTCCCTAGCAGTTTGGGGCATACGAATGAACGGGTATACGAAATACCAGCGTTCGTAACACCTTCAAACTCCTCATGTCTTAAACACCACTTTTCAGTAAATGTAACCCATACAACCTAAACAAACCCTTATTGTAGTCCCACATTTAAGCACTCAAAGCCTAAACCTGAAAAAAACAAAACAGTAATGTACTCGATACTACATTTAACCCAACTCTAACTCTAACCCAACTCTAATGGAATATAATATTGTTTGAAGTGTATTATCTATGTTATCATTGGATTACATGGATAATACACTTACATGGGTTACATTATGTTTTGTAATTGGATACAATTTTATGGTGATACTGTGTTCTCTGTCACCTTAAGTCCTAAAGCAGAATGGATCAATGTGCTTGCTAGCACATGGGTGAAACAAGGCCATTTACACTGCTTCAATTTCTCAATTTGCAAGAAAAGCCAATTGTTTTTTTTTTGTTTTTATGTCATGGTCTATTGATGGCCTTTTTATGTAAGAGAGCAAGTCAATTAGATCTAAAACAATGCCTTCTTCTATTTACAGAAGGGAGTGTTTAAACACACATGTATTGCAGGTACACATAACTGTGAGTTTTATTGTTGTGGATCTCTTTGATTCCCTCTGACAGAACAATAAAGAGCTCGTAGGTAAATGAAAACAAGACCAAGATACACGTATATGCCAAAGATGGACTGATTGTCCTTCCAAACCAGGGACAATTGGAAGGTATGCAACCTTACAATATTGCCAACCTTTAGATGATGGAACGTAGCTATATTGGTACATCAGATAACCCCCAAATTTGGAGTGAATCAAAGCACCACTAATAGTAAGCCTCTCATTTATAGACAAAAATGACTGGCTTGATTGGTTCTTTTTAAGAACAATACTGAATTACATACACATCAAAGGAAAAAAGTAGCCCACACCGCTGGGTGCTGTATGCTGATAATTACTCTTCTGTACATTAACTTAAAATTTAAAATATATGTCGCTGCCCAGATAGGATGGAGTACCGTAAGTTAAATAAAAACAGGATATATGGAATCTTTAAAGAGGTGGGTGTGTTATTACTGCAAAAACAAATAAAGAGTGATCAAATCATGAACTTTTAAAAATGGTTTGACATTGATGGCACCATAACATTTACATTGAGTTGGAGTAGTAATCATGATCAGGGCCGGTGCAAGGATTTTTGCCGCCCTAGGCAAAAGTAAAGTTTGCCGACCCCCCCACTTCATGTGACATCACAATGCCCCACCCATATGATCTGCCATGTTAACTAACGCCAGTGCTGCAGTGCCGCCGTGTTTACTTTAAAAAGCCTGCAGGGACAGGCTATAGACACCAGAACCACTACATTAAGCTGCAGTGGTTCTGGGAGAACGGGAAGCAGCTCCATTTTTTGGGGACCCTTTACACAGCTCAAGGTCTGGGTCCCAGGGTCCACCTTCATGTTTCACCAATGAGTTTGTTCACAGGAGGTGGAGTGTGTAGGGGATGTCCTAATATGTGTGTAAGGAATGCATTGTGTGAATCTGTGTTTGTATGTGTAAGGGCTGCAAGGTGTGTTTCTGTGTATGTACGGGATGCAGTGTGTGCGTCTATAAGGGGTGCATTGCGTGTGTGTAAGGAATGCATTGTGTGTTTCTGTGTGTGTAAGGGATGCATTGTGTGTAAGGGTTGCATTGCTTGTGTGTGCGTCTCTCTGTGTGTGTGTAATGCATTGTGTGTTTTTCTGTGTGCAAGGGGTGCATTGTCTTTGTGTATAAGGGGTGCATTGTGTGTGTGATGGATGTCAATCTCTCCCCTCTCCCTTGTCACTCTCTTCTCCCCACTCTCCCTCCCTTGTCATTCTCTTCTCCCCTCCCCACTCTCATTCCCCCTCCCTTCCCTGTCACTCTCACCCCCTGTCAATTTCTTTCTCCCCCCCTCCCTGTAAATTTCTTTCTCTCCCCCCTCCATGTCAATTTCTCCCCCGTCAGTTCTTTCTTCCCCTCCCATTTCCAGTTCTTTCCTCTCATTAATTTCTTTTCTCCCCAAATCAATTTCTTTCTCCCCCCTGTCAATTTATTCCCCTGTCAATTTTTTCTCCCCGTCAATTTATTTCTCCCCGTCAATTTATTTTTCTCCCCTTCAATTTATTTCTCCCCCCTGTCAATGTCTTTCTCCCCCCTCCCTGTCAATTTTTTTCTCCCCTGTCAATTTTTTTCTCCCTCCCTATTTCTTTCTCCCTTCCCTGTCAATTTCTTTCTCCCCCCCCCTGTCAATTTCTTTCTCTCCGTCCCTGTCAATTTCTTTCTCTCCACCCTCCCTGTCAATTTCTTTTTCTCCCCCCCCCCTCCTGTCAATTTCTTTCTCCCCTGTCAATTTCTTTCTCCCCCCTGTCAATTTCTTTCTTTCCCCCTTGTCAATTTATTTTTTCCTCCCCTCCATGTCAATTTATTCCCCATCAATTTATTTCTCCCAGGTCAATTTATTTTTCCATCATATTTTATTTCTTTCCCCTCCTGTCAATTTATTTTCACCCTGTCCAATTTATTTCTCCCCCCTGTCAATTTCTTTCTCCCCCCCATCAATTTCTTTCTCCCCGTCAATTCTTTCTCCCGTCAGTTTCTTTCTCCCCCTCCTGTCAATTTCTTTCTCCCCAATCATTTCTTCCCCTGTCCAATTTCTTTCTCCCCCCCTCCTCAATTTCTTTCTCCCCGCCTCCCTCCCCTATCACTCTCTCACCCCCTGTCAATTTCTTTCTCTCCCCGTCAATTCCCCTACCTGTCAATTTATTTCTCTCCCTCCTCCCTGTCAATTTATTTCTCCCCCCCGTCAATTTTTTCCCCACCTCCCTGTCTATTTCTTCCCCCCTGTCAATTTCCCCCCCTGTCAATTCCCCCCCCCCTGTCAATTTCTCTCTCCCCACCCCCCTGTCAGTTTTGCTCCCCCCCTCCCTGTCAATTTCTTTCTCCCCCTCCCCTGTCCAGTTTCTTTCTCCCCACCATCAGTTTCTTCCCCTGTCCAGTTTCTTTCCCCCCTCCTGTCAGTTCTTTCTCCCCCTGTCAGTTTCTTTTCTCCCCCCGTCAATTTCTTTCTCCCCTCCTGTCAGTTTCTTTCTTCCCCACTCCTGTCAATTTCTTTCTCCCCTGTCAATTTCTTTCTCCCCCACCTCCTGTCAATTTTCTTTCTCCCACTTTGTCAGTTGTTTTTATGTCTTTCTTCCCCCCATCAAGTTTCTTTCTCCCCGTCAATTTGTTTTCCACCACCCCTCCTGTCAATTTCTTTCTCCCTCTCCTGTCAAGTTTCTTTCTCCCCATCAATTTCTTTCTCCCCTGTCAGTTTCTTTTCCCCCCCCCTCCCTTGTCAATTTCTTTCTCCCCTTTTTGTTTTCACTCTTTCTTTCTCCCCTCTCCCTGTCAATTTCTTTCTCCCCCCGTTTTTTTTCCCCCCCTCCCCTGTCAATTTCTTTCTCCCCCTCCCTGTCAATTTCTCTCTACCCCCCTCCCTGTCAATTTATTTCTCCCTCCTCTCCCTGTCAATTTTTCTCCCCCCTCCCTGTCAATTTATTTCTCCCCATCAATTTCTTTCTCCCCTCCTGTCAATTTCTTTTCTCCTCCTGATCAATTTCTTCCTCCCCGATCCAATTTCTCTTTCCCCTCCCCTGTCAGTTCTTTCTCCCCACCCCTGTCCAGTTTCTTTCTCCCCTGTCAATTTCTTTCTCCCCCCTCCCCTGTCAATTACTCCCCCCCCGTCAATTTCTTTCTCCCCCCTCCCATACCTCTGTTGTAGCGTGGCCGAGCTCTGTATGGTCCGCGGGTACAAGGAGCTTTTGTTTCCTGTACCCGGCCGGACTAAAAGGAAGTGCACACTCAGTGTTAGTCCAGCTCGGCCACGCTACAGTGAGGGAGTGACAGGAGGGAGCGCTGAGTGCTTCCCTCCTGTCAGCCCCTCTTCTCATACTGCGCCCGGGCGGTGCGCCCTCATGGACGCACCAGCCCGGGCAAAGCTGCAGCCACCTGAGGCTCTCTACAGAGTGCTCGGGCGGTTGCAGCATGAGGGGGGCCGGCGCCCCTTCCCAAGGGGCGCCTTAGGTGGCTGCCTAGTCTGCCTAACAGGTAGCGCCGACCCTGATCATGATACCCATTTCAATAATGAGGATGTATAAGGATCATTAGTGATAATAGAGCAACTATTGCTTGACTCTGTCAAAAGTAGGCAAACAAAAAAATAAATAAAAATAAAATAAATCTTGATTTTGTTAGAGCAGTGATTTTGTTACATTATTTGTTATGTTCATGTAATATAAAAAATGGTTCCCTGTTACCATACCTCAAAACAGAATGCACCTGTCATGGTTGATTATATAATTCCTACCTGTGCTATGTAACATTTTGCAATATTATTAATATTGGTTTTGTATTTTATTGTACGCTATTGTAACAATGCAATGTTTTGTAGACCCAGGACATACTTGAAAACGAGAGAAATCTCAATGTATCTTTCCTGGTAAAATATTTTATAAAAATACTTGAACGTTTTCCTGTAGACTTCACATATGTCTTTCTGTTGTAGGTTGGATTTATGACATCACTCAGAAATACGACTACTCGTTCTATGTGTGTGGCCTGCTGTATATGGTAGGAATTATCTGCTTGCTTCTGGAGCCCTGCCTGAAGTCAAAGAATGAACTCTCCGAGAAATCCAATGCAAGTCCTGAAGTGTAAAGACCAATCTAACCACTTTCTTACCAAAGGGTCAACATAAAGTACGATTACAAAGTGCAAAAGTAATATTTTCTGATACTTTGTTGTATGGGATGGTGGGTTGTAGGACTAAGATGTATTGTACTTTAAAGATCCAGTGCCACTTTCAAACTTTCCAATTATCGTTTTGTTTACGGTGGTCCAATAGCCTAAGCATTTCATTTACATCCCCAGAGAATTTAGGACAAAAAAAAAAAGAGTAATCTGTGAGAAAATAGAAAAGGTTTTGTAGGACACAGATTGGAAATTAGTGGGGTTTGACTAAAATTAGTGGAAAATGTGTTTGATTATATAGGATTCTATTTACAGTGACGTCTGTAAATTTCCACTGTTTAGTGCCTTATGGGTAATCTATCCCTAAGCACTCCAAATGACCTAATAACGGGTCTCTGAAATACTCAAACAAATGTGTAGATAAAATGGCTAAAATCTATTAAGGGTCCCTCTCGTTAATGCGCTGTCACTCTTTAGAATACAGATATTGATGTTCTTAGTGCCACCAAATACAGCCTGGTGAAGGGATCTCTGATATATGCAGGTGAAGACTAATTTATGAACTTAACATGTCAATCCATTGTCTATGCTCCTCACTTTTGGTGAAATCACTCTCTTATGCAAAACGAATACCTTATACCTACTGTCAAATGTGCTCTTTGGTAATTTTTCTTTGTGGTACACTGGAGAAATTATCCACAATGGTGGGACTCCGGCACCCGAGTTTAGGTTGTTTTGGTGGACAACTGAAGATGTATGAGAACTCTTTACTAGAAACTCAAAATATTTGGTGTATATAAAGTGTATATTTACAGCAATAAATTACCAGAAGCCCTCCTTGCTATATATGTCCATCTGTTTATTTGAAATGCAGACATTGTGCATGAAAGATAAGAAAAAATAACTTAACTGGAAATTAATAACTGGATTACAGAACATTTATAAACTGGGCAATAATTTCCTTTTGAGTATGCAAATATTTGCACAGACCTACACCTAATCTATGTTCCTTCTCAGGGAATCAGATGTAGGTACAATACTTTGGCTGGGTGCAGGATTCATTTATGTCTATTTTGTTGTCCCTCATAGATTGTATTATGCCAAAACAATTATGATAAACTGTTGTGACACATGTACAAATTGTCTGTAAAATTCTCTTGAGAAATGAGTGTTAAAACATAACTATTACAAAACTACATTTATGTTATTTTACTGTCAGAAATCCTTCCCAGGCGGTTGGCACCCATTGTAAATCTAAATAGGGAATTGTTAAAGGTCAATCAATGTGATATTGCAGTATATGTATGTACAGACAAAAAAATTGTCTCCTAATCCACAATAGGGGTACACAAATGAACATTGAAGGTGACAAGAAGAAGCATTCTGTCAGTAAGAGAATAGCAATACTTCAGAGAAGGGCTACTAAACTGGATCATGGATTACAGGATAAAATTTACAAGGAAAGGTTAAAGGATCTTAACATGTATAGCTTGGAGGAAAGACGAGACGGGGGGATATGATAGAAACCATTAAATACATAAAGGGAATCAACACAGTAAATGAGGAGACTATATTTAAAAGAAGAAAAACTACCACAACAAGAGGGGCAAAGGTTTAAAAATAATATCAGGAAGTATTACTTTACTGAGAGGGTAGTGGATGCACGGAATAGCCTTCCAGCTGAAGTGGTAGAAGTTTACACAGTAAAGGAGTTTAAAGCATGCGTGGGATAGGCATAAGGCTATCCTAACTGTAAGATAAGGCCAGGGACTAATGAAAGTATTTAGAAAATTGGGCAGACTAGATGAGCCGAATGGTTCTTATCTGCCGTCACAGTCTATGTTTCTATGTCTGTTACTGTTAAATACAATATGTTTGTCCTGGCTCACAATGCACTTTGAAATATATGACCAGTTTTGGTCTACAGACATGTTGTATTTCCTTAATATCAACCTAAAGTAAAGCCCCTTCCCTAGTGACAATTGGTCATAAAATGGGAAAACATGCTATGAGACCAGTTACGCAAGGGTACTACATTTCATATAAGAATTCAAATTTTACTACTAGCCAGGTCTTAAAAGTTACTTGCCACTGTAAGCCATAGCATACTCACTAATGTCTATTGGCAAATGGGAACACTGTGATAGTTTATACCTGGTTGTTATCTATACACATTATTAAACCAGTATATGGAAGGCATTATCATGTAGATTTATCGAAGAAGGTTTGTTATGCCAATATATGTATGATAAGGATACTAATAAACAGTATTAGGACTAGTTTAGCAAGATTGGAGTGGTGACAGAGGGTAGAGAGCAGTCTTTATTAGGGAAAGATACCAGGAGAAGAGGGATGTTGAGGAGTGGGAAAAAAACAACTTATGTAAGTTGTGAATGAAAAGCCATTGATTGGCTGAGAGTGTCAGTTGACCGTTCTTAGCCAATCATCGGTACCACTGTCTGACGCAGCCATGCTTGTCTGTTTTGAAATATATTTTAGCAAACGGAAGGACACAGGGCAGAGAGATGTGGCGCTGGAGCACAGACTTTGGGGCTAAATTGTTCGCTTACGGTGTAACCCATAAAAGTGAGCGTGTCGAGTGGTGCCTAGAGTGTTTTTATAACCAACAAAAATACATGAAATGATCTCAATAGAAAAATCTAATTATATTATTTGTCAAAATAAAAAGACATTGTTTCAGCTACCTATGTGGACAGGTGTCTTCATCAGAAAAGGGGAAATTCAACATTTCCTCTTTCTCTGACTGTAAATGTGAGTTTGAACCACTGAATTGAGGAGGTACTGTGGCCTGTGCATGCAGATAATATATAGCGCTTAGTAGCTCTAGCAGCATGGTACCTTAGAGTGCCCCTGTCTCTGACATCCCATTGTATGTTGACAACTTGTTGTTCTGTATAATGCATTCTAAATTATAGGAAAATAAAAGTTATGTTTAACACAATACTGGAAGATGTGAATGAGATATGAGCGCCACCATCTCACCCAAGACACAAGTTTCACATCTCTCTCATTCTTGAAAGAGTGAGAAAAGAGTTCCATGGTTCACTCCGAGGGATGGTTTACTTTTATTATATTGTAAAATTAAGTAGAAGCTAATTTACAATCATTTGTGTGCAAGGTTCAAGGAAGACTGAGAAAGCAATAGATGAGAGTTCACTTTTGAACTGAATTACGCAAAGAATTAAAAGTAATTGCATTTACTAGGGGTATTAAATGTAGTGAAAGTGTTAGTTGAGTTACTTGATACAGAGTATTATGTAAATTACGAAAGGAGTAAAAGACACAACGGGGGCTGGGATTGAAAAGCAGGTGGACATCAAAGTATTACTAGCTGTCTGCAGCTTAGGAGAAATTGTGACTCCTGACCTATAAATACCAAAATTTAGTAGAGGTAGTTGATTCTGTACCCTCGCCATCATGTGACCGTGATCCAGGGGGGTCTGCATGGTATATCAGATGATAATGTCAGTCCTTGCTGTTCCAAAGTGGCAGATCTGTTCCAGTGGAAGTACACAAACCTGCACCTCCCCACTAACTTTCTCCTTTTGGATTCAATACAGCCATATCCTGCAGTGTTTGTTCAGGTATTAACTTGTTATGGTTACTTGAAAACTTTTCTTAACCCTTTTATTCCTGGAGTGCTTAGGAGAATGCAATAAGGAGAAATCCACCATGGTTATCAGACCAAACTGCATCTTTCCCTTTAGATTTTATTCATAACCCACGTTTGCATAAAAAAAACAAGAGGAGATGTATGAGTACGACCACAATAAAATGTGAGTTAGTGTGTCAGTGAACGTTACTCATACAACGTGTATGCTACACAGAACTGTGACCTGCGTGGTCAATATGAATTAAAATGGCGGGATTGTGCAAATGTTTTCATTGCTTTTTTTAATTTCTGGGATCCAAATATATGTCTACATTACTGTATGAGCCATTGTTTTCTTAATAACAAAGCACAATAAAACGATTATATTTATGGCAGTGTGCGACTTTATTTCCTCTGTTTATGGTACATTTCTGATAGTGTAACTATGCTATACACTGTTATAATTTGTCTGGCACAAATGGAAAACAGAAAATTAAGTATTTTTTTTTTCTCTTTAAGCCTTGAGGCCTTTCTTCCATCACATGTCCTAACTGAACTAATGTTTCAGAAATAAGTTTCAGTTGAATAATGTCAAAGTCTTTTTGTTGAATTTGGAATGGCTATTTACACAAGACTAAAGTCTAAATCTTTCAAACAAACTTTAAATATCAGATGAAAATCATTACGGGGTATTTCACAAGGTACCTGTATCTGAAATGTCATCTGTGGTTCTATAGCTTTGATATACAGTATCATGTTTGTTCTTTCACACCTGAGTCAAAATTATTGCAAACAAGTTTTAAATAAGTAAATTATGTGAAAAAAAATCAATATCAAAGATTGATCTTGTGTACATGCAGATTGTAATTGACACAGTTACTGGATATTATGTTTTATTTGTGACACAAAAGCCGAGATTTAACAGGCCTCCCAACCATTCTGATTTCGGCAGTACAGTCCAGATTTTCGGGTCCTGAAAACACCATGCATTCACAAAGCTAATTTTTTTCTCTCTCTTTTTATTTTTATTTTGCGGCCTGATGCTACAACTGTTTAATTTTTTCTTGCACATCTGTCTGCACTCAATGTAGTCAACCTGCGCACATGTCCTATTTGGGACATTTGTAAGGCAGGCCAATTTATTTTACCCCCATCAAACCATATATTTTTTAAAAGTAGACAACCTAGGGTAATTTAACTGGTGGTATTTTAACACTTTCCATGCACTAATTCTACCACCAGCCTGTGTCAAACTTTTGGGTAGTAATTTTTTTGTGTTTTTTTCCCACACACTTTGTACTTTAGGTATGAATTAACAGATCCTGTTATGTGTCACTGCCAAACAACACCCCAATATGTGTTCAGCAACATCTCCTGAGTACAGTGATACCACCCATGCATAGGCTTGTTGGGTTGTTTGGGGGCTAAAAGGCCACATTTGACAGGTGTGCATATCCGTTTTCCAGCTCGAAATTGTGACATGTAGTCAACTTGCACCGATATCCGATTTGGGCCAATGTATTTTACCCCCATCAAACTACATATTTGTGAAACGTAGACAACCCAGTGTATTTTTAATGTTGGTATTTTAACACTTTTCATGCACTGAATTCTACCACCAGCCATTGTCAAACTTTTGGGTAGTAATTTTTCTTTGTTTTTTTCCATACACTTTGTACTTTAGGCATGAATTAACAGATCCTGTTATGCATCACTGCCAAGCAACACCCCAATATGTATTCAGCAACATCTCCTGAGTACAGTGATACCAGCCATGCATAGGTTTGCTGGGTTGTTTGGGGGCTAAAAGGCCACGACAGAGACTTGTGCATGTCAGTTTTTCAACTTGATATATAGGTATGCTTGGCGTATCTCCAGTTTGGTGTATTTTTGCATCCCCCCCGTTAGTGTTACTGTTACGGCTCCCCCGGTATGCGAGGGGTTACAGCCGTATAAGACGTTCCCTTACCGAATGCAGAGGCAGCCACTGAGTGCTACTAAGTACCGAACAGTAGCCGTACGGATGAGGTAGTTTCCCAAGTAACCGAACAGCAGATATACAAACACACTAATGCTCCCAAACAGCCGAACAGCCACCATGTGAATCAAATATTCCTCCAAACTGCCGAACACGCATACTCCATACGAATAATCCCCCCAAAGACGAGACACAGCTCCGTATTGAGGGTCAGCAGGAATCTGTTTAATGAGGGCCACATGCCCGGCTTTTATGCAAGTCCCCCACCTGGTGGACACTCCCCTAGGGGACCGAAGAGGGGACTGTGACAAGGACAATGTATTAACCAATCACAGAAGACATAATAAGCCATTCCTCTTTTCTTGCCCAGAACCCTCTGCTCTGCCCGGAAAGATAATTGTGAAGTAATTCAATTATCTCCCAAGACAGAGCCTAAACGCCATTTTGAGGGATAATAACAAAAATACATAAAAATACATAAAATTACATAACTGTTGCATTTTACAAGATTTTATAGGCATTCCACAGGTCCCCAGATAGCTAGGATCTGAGCGCACCAAAGTACCGAATAGCGCTCAGATCCTATACACACAGTAAAATCGCCGTGGAGCCAAAGTGTTCACACAGTCAGTTTTCATACGAATGGGCTCCATGGGATTCCTATCTGGGGTACGGTGTATTTCGTTTAAATCCACCGAATATAGGGTCATTCGTGTCAATCTAGCGAACAAGAAGGGAGGTCGTGCCAAACTGTGTTCGTTTTTAGTTCCATGAGTTAGGCGTCGAACACGTGTGTTTTAAAATGACCGCGACCTCGTGTTCGGCATTCGAATGGCGGCCACCTGTCAGAATATTTATATCAGCAGACATTTTGTGCTAAGAAAGAAATTAAAAGTGCATATTGCCAGAGTCACTCAGAACAGAGCGGACTCCATTTTGCTATCTTCAGGATAACAAAAACACATAGTTTCTTCTTACTTTCTGTAACTAGCCACTTGCCTGAACTATGGAATGCTCTGTCTAAATGTTAATGGAATAGATGCATTACATAAACACAGACACTAGTGACAGAGAAGACTAAGTAATTAATTTTACTTTATAAATTTTACAAGGTTCCATTGTAAGTAAGGGGTGAAATTGAGTTTAGAACTGTCAATTTTACAAATTACGATCAAAGTAGTAAAAGACTGAGACAAACGCTTTGAGCTGACAGCAAATCTAAGTTATGGTAGTCATTTTAGATAAGCCAAATGACGTCAAAATCGTCATCAGGAAAAGTTAACTCTTTCCTGGATAAGAAGGATTAGTAAAACGAGACTGCCCTCTATGGATCAAATACCTAAATTGCGATCCATCGATTGAATCCATCTACGATTTCCTATTGGCTTATCAACTAATGACGTACAGAGAGTCTGGCCCTTTAAAAGTTAGGACAAAGGGAAGAGAGGGTTAGTTGGCAGAGAGAGACGAGTTGAAGTTTGGGGATTCCGATTCGGACATGCAGAGAGAGAGACTCAAGAAACAATCTCTGAGACTAACACTCTACCCTTAAACTCTCTTGGACACAACTCTTTGATACTTTCTAACCAACACCACTTTTCTCTATCACTCACGCACCTCCATACAACCAATCAAGTTTCTGGGACTACCTACTCATCTGATGAGAATATCTACATAACTGGTAATTATGCTGGTTTTATTTAATTAATTTAAATTAATTAAAATTTACTAATAGCATGATATATGACTGGATAAATCACGGTCAGATTTCCATATTTAGAAATCTTAGTTAAGAATATATAGTTATAACCATTCCATTCTGCAGGTGGAATTAAGAATAATTATATATTAATGTGATAGTATCACGTGTTAGCATACCACTGTTTTTATCCAGGTGTATTGATTTGCTCTAAAATAAGATAAGATATCTTTTTAGGCAAATTAAAATTTGGCTTATAGAATCTGGTAGATTATTCTTATTGGATGGTTCCAGGAAATGACTAATGAGCTGGTCTGAATGTTATTTTAATTGAAAATTACATGAGAATAGGATACTATATGCCTAGGAGGATCTAGCCAGCATTGAAAGGGTTACTCAGTTGATTTAACTGTTAGCCAAGGTTTTATGGCTTTTCGCTGTGAAAAGCTTTACTTTTTGTCCAGAAAGATACCCTCATAAATGTTATCAAGTGACAGAAGATGCTGTTAGCCATTGAAACGTGTATAGCCATTCCATTGTATTGCATACTTGTGTTATACTAAATACTCACTGATTATTATCATGCATGCTGCCTAATATTATTGTTATTTTATTGGTCATAATAAATAAATCTATTTTTATAACAAATTGTGATTTAATTGTATGGAATACTTTTCACTTATTTGATAAACGATCTCTAAGATCTAAGCGAATTGAAATAGTGGGCGATTCTCGACTGCTTAATATTATCATCCCATAAATATCCCCACACACCCAACTGCTGTATCAATTACGAGGTGTCTGCGGTTAATCCTCAACGTTCGAATGGGGCCAAGAGGATAATCAGCAGCACACTCCTCTACTGGGTGGCCGGCTATTCGGTAGTTTTGTTCGGTTATAAACAGGGGAATGCCATAGAGTCCACAGGAACGAGAAAAATGAATTAAATAAACGAACAAGCCATACGGTTGATTCAGTCTAGGACGGAGGGATCTGTCACAGTTACCATCATGAAAGTGTATATTTTTATCAAGTAGACATTTCAGGGTATTTTATATGGGGTGTTTTAACATCATTTCCCCAACCATTGTGCTAGCATATTTTCAGAGAACCTGCATGGTGATAATTTGTGAATTCTGCTTTTTGATTTTAGCCAGCAGGTTATATGTTACTGACAGAAAACACCCCAGTTTTTTTTCTGTAAAGTCCCCTGAGTACACCTATGGCCCCCCATGCATTGATTTGCCACGATTTTACAGTAACAAATTTTAGACTTGCCCATTTCGGCTGAATATAGTTTGCTTTTTTTTTGGTAGGCACATGTTGAGTGTGGTGCATTTTTCCATCCACCAAGGTGAATTTATGGATTGAAAGTATATATTTGTATAAAGTACACATCCAAGGTTTTGACTTCTTTTCCCCAACCATTTTGCCCCTTAATATGGTGGTGTTTTCTGAGCAAGGTCGTAAAGGGCAGTAACTCCATGCCAGGGTGCCCCCCCGAGAGGTCTGAATACACTGTGAGTTGCATGTTCTCAAACTGGTACAACTGGTAGGGTGTATGATCTTTGATGGCGTCGAGGACTGCTCTCCTGTCCCCTTCGCTCCAAAAGCGGACTATAAAATCCCGTGGTGCATCGGCAGGGGCTTTGGGTGGCTTGGGTATGCGGAATATGCTCTCTAGTGCCATCAGGCGCCTAATAAAATACCGTTGTTCCGCTGCTGGCAAGTTCTCGCTGATTACGCGGATTTTCACATTCTTTTTACGCCTTAGGTCTTCCAGTGCTGCAAAGTGTCGCTTATGGGACTCGTTTTGTTTTTGCAAGCCCAATATTGCCTGCTTCAGGGAGGCGATTTGTTGCGTGTGTTCTCGTGGTGGTTTCCTGCACTCCCAGCCTGCTTAACAGGCCTTTGATATCCATACGGATCGCTGCCAGGTCTGACAGTATGTTTGTCTGCAGGTCCGCCAGGAGGGATTTCAGTACCTCTGTGCTAACTGGCGTTTTGTCTGGGCTCCGTGGTGTCAGGTCTGGAGGCTTCATGATCGTCGGAGCTTCCGTTTCCTCCTCTAGGGAGAGGTCGTCGGAGTATTCCGAGTAAGCCTCGGGGCGCGCGGCCATTTTGAGTCCCACAGCATTGTTTGCTTGGCGCAGGAGGTCTCCAATATCCAGGCGTAGACGTGGTTTGTCTGGCTTCAATTTTTTGTTTTTTCGGCCCATAATGGTGCTAGGACAGCAGTTAAGTGTTTGGGTTCACCAATTTAACCTTTTGGGCTCTCTAGTGGATATAGTTATTATCAGATGCCTGGAGCTCTCTCTCAGTGCGGCCACTCTGCTCGGTTGCTCGACTCCCTTCGGCCACAATACTTTTTTAACCAAATGTGCAGGTATCAAATGCACCTTTAGCAGCAATCTCTGAACTAACTCCTGCAAAAAGAATCTAACTGGAGATTTGGGGAAAGGAAACTAACTAAAATGTTCTGCTTTCAAAAGAAACAAAAATAAATTCAGGAACAAGTCTTACAAAAAGGTATTCTCTGTGTGGTAGAGCTTAAAACATGTTCCAATACATAATCCGGGTTTTGAAGGGCAATCGGGACAGTGAAACATAGAAAGATAGAATGTGACGGCAGATAAGAACCATTTGGCCCATCTACTCTGCCCAATTTTCTAAATACTTTCATTAGTCCCTGGCCTTATCTTATAGTTAGGATAGCATTATGCCTATCCCACGCATGCTTAAACTTCTTTACTGTGTTAACTTCTACCACTTCAGCTGGAAGGCTATTTCATGCATCCACTCCCCTCTCTGTAAAGTAATACTCCCTGATATTATTTTTAAACCTTTGCCCCTCTAATTTAAGACTATGTCCTCTTGTTGTGGTAGTTTTTCTTCTTTTAAATATAGTCTCCTCCTTTACTGTGTTGATTCCCTTTATATATTTAAATGTTTCTATCATATCCCCCCTGTCTTGTCTTTTCTCCAAGCTATACATGTTAAGATCCTTTAACCTTTCCTGGTAAATTTTATCCTGCAATCCATGAACCAGTTTAGTAGCCCTTCTCTGAACTCTCTCTAAGGTATCAATATCCTTCTGAAGATACGGTCTCCAGCAGGGCCGCCACCAGAAATTTTGGGGCCCCTGACAAAGCACAAGGTCAGGGCCCCCCACGCCCCCACCCGGCCGGCCTCCCCCTCGCAATGAATGCAGTGTGTGTGTCAGTGTAATGAATGCAGTGTGTGTGTCAGTGTAATGAAGGCAGAGTGTGTGTCAGTGTAGTGAATGCAGAGTGTGTGTCGGTGTAATGAATGCAGAGTGTGTCAGTGTAGTGAATGCAGTGTGTGTGTCAGTGTAGTGGATGCAGTGTGTGTTAGTGTTGTGGATGCAGTGTGTGTGTTAGTGTAGTGGATGCAGTGTGTGTGTCAGTGTTGTGAATGCAGTGTGTGTGTCAGTGTTGTGAATGCAGAGTGTGTGTCAGTGTAGTGAATGCAGTGTGTGTGTTAGTGTAATGAATGCAGAGTGTGTGTTAGTGTAGTGAATGCAGTGTGTGTTAGTGTTGTGGATGCAGAGTGTGTGTTAGTGTTGTGGATGCAGTGTGTGTTAGTGTAGTGGATGCAGTGTGTGTGTCAGTGTAGTGAATGCAGTGTGTGTGTCAGTGTAGTGAATGCAGAGTGTGTGTTAGTGCAGTGGATGCAGTGTGTGTGTTTAGTAGTGTTTGCATGTAAATGTAATAACTGTTATTCCCCCCTCCCTGTTTCTTACCTGGTCCAGGGAGGGGGGAGATTCCATGATCCCTGGTGGTCCGGTGGCATTGTGGGGCCCCCCCGGCTCCCTATACTTGCAGAGGGGGCCCAGCGGACTGCAGCTGTACTTTACAGTATTTCCCTCGCTCTCACTCCCGCTAGATGTGGTGTGCTCGCCACGCGGAGCATTGCCATGGTAATCCATGGCAACGCTCTAACGGCCGCACATCTCGCGGGAGTTAGAGCGAGGGAAATGCTGTAAAGTACAGCTGCAGTCCGCTGGGCCCCCTCTGCAAGTATAGGGAGCCGGGGGGGCCCACGGCTGCACCTATATATAGCGACCATCGCTATATATAGGTGCATAGAGTAATTGTGGGGCCCTGGACTGCCAAAGCAGTCCGGGCCCCCCAGGACCGCCGGGCCCGTGACAACCGTTATGGTTGTCACCCCCTGATGGCGGCCCTGGTCTCCAGTACTACGTACAATACTCCAAGTGAGGTCTCACCAGTGTTCTGTATAATGGCAAGAGCACTTCCCTCTTTCTATTGCTAATACCTCTCCCTATACAACCAAGCGTTCTGCTGGCATTTCCTGCTGCTCTATTACATTGTCTGCCTACCTTTAAGTCATCAGAAATAATCACCCCTAAATCCCTTTCCTCATATGTTGAGGTTAGAACTCTATCAAATATTCTGTACTCTGCCCTTGGGTTTTTACGTCCAAGATGCATTATCTTGCACTTATCCACATTAAATGTCAGTTGCCACAATTCTGACCATTTTTCTAGTTTACCTAAATCATTTGCCATTTGGCTTATCCCTCCTGGAACATCAACCCTGTTACATATCTTAGTATCATCAGCAAAAAGACATACCTTACCATCAAGACCTTCTGCAATATCACTAATAAAAATATTAAAGAGAATGGGTCCAAGTACAGATCCCTGAGGTAGCCCACTGGTGACAAGCCCAAGCTTCGAATATATTCCATTGATTACAACCCTCTGTTGCCTGTCACTCAGCCACTGCCTTACCCATTCAACATTATTGGAATGGGGGTGTCTGTCCTTTTCCCTTTTTTGTAACAGACCCGGCAACGTTTCTGGGGATTTGTTTTATTTGCAGTAGGGGGGATCTTAAAAATATAATGTGTAGAACCAATTCTTGATTCCTCTGGAACCG